ATGATCCATGAAATATAGAAGATGACAATTATGTCCATTTGTATGAGACATTTGCAAAGCCACGAGGGCTATTTCCAAAGTGGACTATATCATACCAATATTGAGAGGTACTGTTATCCTTAACACGAGCTTCGCGAATCCAAGTTCTTTTTGTGATCAAACAATTAGTATTAAAAAAAATTTGAAGGAAACAAGCACTTGCAGAGTGGATTAGACTGGATAGGTGCTCTCATCCCAATTAATCCCTTAACCGTGGGGATCATCCCCTGCACATTTATTCACATTCTCATCCTCTTTTCCACTTTATGCCCCTCGTAGATTAATTTACCCTTAAATTAATTAAATCCCTTTTATAATTATTTGTAAAAGTGGTCCTCCTCCTTCCTATATCAATATGCACAATAAATGTGGTGGGAATTGTGTACCATTTACATTTATTTCACCCGATTTTCCCTTCTACAAAATCAAATCAAATTATTAATTATTATTTAATTTTTTGGGATTTTACAAGGCCAGTCTTTCACCTGGCTATAGTTGATTTGGCAGGGTCAAGTCCAGTCCTTCCCTCAACATTTACTGCAATTTTCTCACTTTTTGGTGCACGTGTAGCAGAACAGTCTTCCTCTAACTCGGGATAATTAGGAAAGTAATATTGCCTGCTTATCTGCTGGGAGTATTCATTTATCATTTAATTTTTTATAAGTAAAAAAAAAAAAAAGATTGCATAAATAAAGATTTTTTTTGGTTCTTCTGACAAAACAAAGAGCTATCAAATGTTTAATTACGGAAAAAAAAACATGGGTATTGACTGTACTTAACTATTATTCGAAATTTTTTGATCATATTACTAAAAAAAATTATGACAAGTTTTTTATTTTTTTGAATAACAGAAAGATCTCTCTTTTTAAATTCTTTTTACTATTTATCAAAAATTAAAGTGTGGTTAGAAAAGATGGGTGCTAACTTATAGGCCTTGGTTAATTGTTTTATTTGAAATTTTCGGGTCTCCTCCCAACTGTGACTTAATCCCTTTTTCACCCTATTAGATTGTTAGTGACAGATTTGAGTTATTTAAAGTCTCTTATTCCCGTTGTCAATCTGATATTTTGTTTCACTATTATAGTCAAATAAGCCAACCAAAATTAAATCAAATTTATATATTTAACACAACTTGTGTTTTGTTCTGCTTCGATCCGGTCATAATCGTAATTCGTAAATAGTTTTACTTTAATTCCTTTCCTGCGGTGTGGGTTGGGTTGGACATTATTGTTCTAAAACGATAATAACAACAAAAATAATTGAAAATGACACATAAGTCCATATTCCAAAATATCCAAAAACATTAATCCCGTTTTGTTTTGTTGGATTTATGTCAATTCGAGCTAGGTTGAATTTTAAAAAGCTTAGTTAACTATCGATGCGGTCTTTGTCAATTTGAAATATTCAACGAGTTATCTATTGTTTGGAAGTACTTTCTCTCTTTTAAGATTGATTTGATGTCGTTGGAGTGTGAAAATCAAAAGTCTAGAGAATTGTTGGACTGACCTTCCCAAACGTACGAAAGACGTGTAAAAAGGAAATGACAAATTTTAATGCTTAAGTCAATAAGATTTTGTTCTCCGTACAGGTAATAAAAAACATGCATACATGCATACAAAAGTTGCTTTCTTATTATACAGTTGACAAGTGGGGTCTACTTAACAGTTATCAAACACCGGAGTGCAGCATAGGTTCCAAGATAGTAGAGGGACGTAGAGGAACAGTTGACAATGGTTTATTTGTGAATACCTCGACTTGGTTCTTGTTGAGGTGACACTAAGTTATGAGGTACAATCCCTCAAATATTTGGTCTGAGGCACTACTCTTCGAACTTTTACGATCCTCTCTTCTTCACTCATGTGGAATGTCACTTTTTTTTTTTTTTGAAAAATATGTGGAAGGTCACTTTACACTATAGATCCATCACTTTTCTTGTATAATTTTCTTTTCTAAAATATATGTTATGGAGTTTTATGTATCTTGTTATTACATTATCAATTTTTCGTTTATAACTTAGACATACGACTTCTGTCCTTAGCACATAAAAGTTTTCAGATATAAGCATATAACAAATATGGGCAGTTTTAAAAGACCTAATAAGAAATTAACGATGAGGAAGAAAATAATTAAACTTTTAGAACAAAATAGGCTTTAAACCTAAATTAATTAATATTATATGTAATGTAAAAATATAAAAAAGAAATGAACATTGGAAATAGAGTAGAGTAGGGTGATGGCACAAAAATTAGAATGGTCTCTTTCTGTGCGCTTTGCCGAAAGGGGCCGGGCTCGAAATCATACAGACACGAGTAACGAAATGGGACAGCCTGTCAAGCCGTTTTCAATAATAAAAAACTATTTATTTATTTACGTGTAAATACTATTTTACCCTCCAGTTATACTTTTACACCTGTTTTGGTCCAATTTTAAAAAAATATATATTATTTTAATTCATGTAATTTTTAAAAAGTTACTACTTTTATCTTTTTAGTTTTATTTTTATCTAAATTATTTTAATCATAATATTTCATTCGCTAGATTAAATATGAATTAAATTGGTCATTATTTAAAAACATGGAGATCAAAATAACTATTTTAAAAGTATAATATCAAAATTAAAAAGTCAAAAAGTACACATTAAAATGATATTTAAACCTAATAATTATTATATCCTTCCCTTCAACATTACTCTACCTACCTATCATGAACACTCTTATACATTTGTACTGTTTCCCTTATTTTTCAAACGCTAACATGCAAATTCATTCCATATTCATTTTTGGTAATGATTTAATTTGAACACATCCCAATGTAGTTTAGCACACAAATATGATAAACTTTTTTTTCCAAACTAAAATTTAGATTAAAAAAAGGACGAAATAAAACCCGTTGTCTTGCTTAAAATGTAAGTATTCAACAACAAAGTTGTTGTTTCTTTTTTACCTTTACCTTTTCTTTTTTTGACAAAGTGATTCCTTTTTATTTATTATTGTTGAATTCATAAAATTTTGAAATTTTTGATTCATGGCATTAGTATGTCCTATAAACTTTTCATCTATTTGACGATTAGATTGGTACTTTTAGATAAAAATCCTTAAAATACATAACTTTACCATCTTAATAGGAAGGGAGTAAGAACGGAATGTCATAAATAAGGAAAAATCAATAAATATAAAGTTGTATAATGTGAGTGAAATTTTATGTATTGTATATACTAAAGTTATAGGAGTTTTTAATAAAGAACATAAATAATTATTATCAATGCTTATATTTTACTAATATTTCGAATGAAATTTGGATTTAATAATTGATATGCATGTAAAAAAAAAACAAAAAACTAACACAAAAGGTGGTCAAAGCAGAGGAGTGACAATGACATTGTAGTATATTTAGTTAAATTATAAATTTATTTTTTAGTCTTAAAGATTCTCAATGTTAATAATATCTTAATGAGAATTAATGTCAATAACATGTTTGAGGAAATGTCAATTAATTAAGTGTTCATTTAGTACATGTGATTTATAGTTGAACAAACTAATAAGAATGTTGCAATAATATTTAGGTAACATTGTAAACGAAATAAATTAGATATACACATTGTCTAAAGTTTCAAAAAAAAGCTATCAATTATGTTCAAATTTACGAGTCATAAAAGATATTAAAATGATAACATGTCAATTAAATTGAATATTTATCTATGCATTTAAAAAATGAAAATATTATAAATTTAGCCACTATAGACAAAATTTATAATTTTAACTTATAATTATTCGTGAAAATTGCTTCCATATTTGCGCTTACAAATTATCAATAATTACACGTTTCTCCATATCTTTTTGTTAACAAAACAATCCTAGGGAGATGAAGTCGTTGAAGCGATGCCAGCTTCCCAAATTAAAAATTCATTGTCCATGTGAAGTTGAATTTTAATATTTCTAAATAAAATATATAATGAATTTTTAATGAATTTGTAATATTTACTTAAAGAGTAATATTGATTACTGATACATGAGCTTAAATTTTCATGGTAGTATTTAAATTTTTATCCTTAATTTACTTTCAAAATTCAAACCTCCTAGTTAAAATATATAGTTTAACTATTGCACTATATTTAAATTCTCAATTGTATATAACAACTTATTGTGAATAATTTAATTTATTAAGAGAAATATATAGATTTTAGTGGAATTTCGAGCATTCAATTCGAGAATCCAATTCTTACAAAGTAACTAATTTTTTGAGGTAGAGATCGAACTCACAACTTCTTGGTTGGCTGAACTATAAATAGTAACAACTAAAAAGTTAAAATTAAAATACAAATTTAAAAAATGTATAGGTGAAAGTGAATTTATTGGTACGAATCACAGTCATTGCTTATTATTTCATCTTGCAGCATAATAGATTAATAGAGAGATGGGAATTAAGTAATATTCAAACACTTAATTTAATAGATCAAAATCAATCATATTCCAAATTCCCTCTCAGCTTTAATATCCATTTAAATCTTGACACATTTTTCTATCAGGGTCTTAATATCGAGGGACAAAAAAAAAAAAAATGGAAGAGAGATGTGAATAAATGAGAAAATATCAATTTTATTGATATATTAATTTTCACTCTAAACTTCCTATAATCCACCCACTGATTTTTACTAATAAACAATGTAAAAATCTAAAAAAACGCACACATTAATTTCACTTATATAAAGTTTTGCATAAATAATTATTTACATGTTTGATTAACGTATACAGTTAACTGAATTCTGATAGATGAAACATATTTTAAGTGGTTAAGAAATTGAAAAAACGAAGTTTGGAAGTTGAGAGTAAAAATTAATTTATTGGAAAAATAGACGGTATAATTAAAACATGTGGATGAGGGTAACGTAAGAGAGATGTTTCCATGTCACTGCAGGTGACAGAAGCGGTTCCCCTTGGCCTTGAATAAAAAAACAAGTGAACAACAGCCATGGACCTTTCACTTTCTCTCACTCCAAAGTCTCCCGTCTCTCCCTCTGCCCCTCACTCTCTGCTCTCACAGCTTCCCCCGAGGCCCGGACCAGATAACACATACTTTTCCCAGAAGCAACCCAACACAAGCAAATCAAATTAACCAAAGGGAATGTGAATTTTTTCTCCTCTCCAAACCCAATCCCTTGCGTCTTCTCAGAATCCCCAGCACAATAATGGGTGGGGTTACTTCTTCCATGGCTGCAAAATTCGCCTTCTTCCCTCCGAATCCCCCCTCCTACAAGCTCCTCAAAGACGAACACACCGGCCTTCTGCTCTTGGACCCTTTTCCCCACCGCGAAAATGTCGACGTCTGGAAGCTTCCCACGCGCCGCGGCTCCGAGATCGTCGCTGTTTACATCCGCTACCCCATGGCCACCTCCACGCTTCTCTACTCCCATGGGAATGCCGCCGATGTTGGCCAGATGTACGAGCTCTTCATTGAGCTCAGCATCCATTTGCGCGTCAATCTTCTAGGGTATGTCCATTTCTCTCGTTATCTTCTTCGTTGTGTGCTTTCTGATTCTGGGGTATTACGGGAGAGCATTTTTATTTTACTGTGACAATGGGAGAGCGTCAGCGAGTTTCATACTTGCTATTTTTGACGAATTGCTGGGAAATTAAACTTGCCCGTTTCTTAAATCTTTGCTTTTATGTCTCTGGTAGAGGAGGATTGGGATGTTGAGCGGCCTGCTGGAAATTAGATGTTCGTTAACTTAGGTGGAAGAGTGCAATATTCGGTGGATTTTAATGGTTGCTCTTGATTGTAGTTAGTCGGTACGGTACTTGAGTATTTGAAGTGAAATTGGTTCCAGTTGAATTGTTAGAGCGGTGATCTATGCAGATCTAAAGTTTGTGAGATGGTTCTGTTAATGCTAATTTTGAATAATCAATCTGCTGGGTTTTATTTACCTTCATTCTATCTTAGCTGCCACCCAGAGTACTCTTGTTCTGTCTGGTAAGCGCGAGTACGAAATCCCCTCTCCCGTGATTGTACCGACAACTTCTATTCAAAACCAAACTAAATTCAAAAGTCTCAGAAAATATGTCCCCAATCTTCATGGCAAAGTGAAATGAGAAATATGAACCCAGCCCTCCGAGTTTACAGCCCCACCGTGGGCTCAAGACCAGAGTTGATCGAGTGTGGTTGATGAGTCAAGCCAGCAACAACCACATTTTTCCTTCAGCTTCTTTCTTATTTCTTACTTGATGTTTTTAGGCAGACGTGGAAGAAAAGGCTAAATGGCTAATATTGGTTTACCCTGCAACATCATATCTTTGTTCAATGGGACAGCCTAGAGTAAGTAGCAACTATTGTAGATTTCACTTACAAACCTGAGAGTATTGTGATTTTAATGTTGTTTTTGTGGATTGGCATTGTACCTTGTTCTTTTTTCTCGCTGCCTTGATAAAAATCTGCCCTTTCTATCCCTCAAACGGAAGGAGTTTTGGCTGGTGTAATGTTAGCAACATTCCTAGATGTGTGATTAGTCATACAAACTGTGAAACTTAAATCAAACTCTATCTTGAAACTTATGCAGGTATGACTATTCTGGATATGGACAGTCCTCGGGAAAGGTAAGCATAGGAAATCCTTTCCCTGCTTCGCATTTCGTTGGCGGTTAGTCCACTGTCATTCATAACATTACTTTTTTGTTTATGATTCTTTTTGCAGCCAAGCGAGCACAATACTTATGCAGATATTGAAGCTGCTTACAAGTGTCTTGAAGAGAATTATGGTGCTAAGCAAGAGGAAATTATCCTTTATGGTCAATCTGTTGGAAGCGGCCCAACTTTGGACCTTGCTGCACGGTTGCCCCGACTACGAGCAGTTGTCCTGCATAGTCCCATATTGTCAGGGTTAAGAGTCATGTATCCAGTGAAGCGCACGTACTGGTTTGACATCTATAAGGTAAGACATTGTTTGTTAATACCGTGACATGAATTAGTTTACTTGTTTTATGTACTATGGAGTCCTGATGTTTTTCCCTTGTTTATCTGCAGAACATTGATAAAATACCATATGTTAAGTGCCCTGTACTGGTAATTCATGTAAGTATTAAGATCTTATGTCTATCAATCAAATCTAGAGATTGTATTTTACACCTGTACCCGATCTGTTTCGCGGGCGACCATTTTTCTTATTCTGACTCTGCAATCCCTTGATGTTCTCTTTTCTAGGGAACTTCCGACGATGTTGTTGATTTCTCGCATGGTAAACAGCTCTGGGAGCTGTGTCAAGAGAAATATGAACCCTTATGGCTCAAAGGGGGGAACCATTGTGATCTTGAACTCTTCCCTGAATACATTAGGCATCTCAAGAAATTTATATCAACTGTTGAGAGATCGCCTTCACGAAGGAACAGTTCAAGGAAAAGCACAGATCGAATCGAGCAATCAAGAAGGAGCACGGATTGTTTCGAGGCCCCAAGAAGGAGCACAGACAGGAGAGAGAAGCCAAGGAAAAGCACTGATAGGCTAGACAAATTGAGACCTCAAGGATACAAGTTCGACAACATCGAGAAGCTAGAGAAATTAAAAATCTCAATCGACCAAGTAGAGAGATCGCGGAGAAGTGTGGAATACTACGAGAAGCCGAGAAGAAGCATCGACCAACAGTTTGAAAAAGCCCGAAAGAGCGTGGATTGGTTGGATAGGATTCGTGCCGGGTAGAACAAGAAATTGCATTGGTGAAGGGTGGTTCCCTGATAAAAGGAGGGTGGTATACAGAGAGGAAAGTGCAGGAAAACATTGGGGATTCTACTTCTAATTATTGATTTCTAGAAAAAAGGGTGTTGGTTTGGGAAACTCCATACTTGGGTGTCACATGTTTATAGTTTGATACATGGGAATTCATTACCTTCTACCTTGATTGTTAATAGAACCAAATCATTGTTGTTAATCTTAATCCCCTCAAAAGTGAAGCTCTGTTATCTCTTGTCAACTCTTTGAGCTTAAATGTTTCCATTGAATTTCTCATGTGTATTAACTGTTATCTATTCTAGATGACATAATCTAAAACAATATTTCAATTAATTGGAATTTTTCCATCTTATATTACGGGTATTTGTATTAAAAAAATAAAGGGATTGCTAACTTGAGCAATTAGTTAAAACATATATGATATGTGTTTGAATCTCGGCTCCCAATTGTATTGAATTATGAGAAAAAGTAAGAAGATTTTGCTTCAAATAGGGATTGTGAAAAACACTTTGAACTAATGAAAAGAAACTAGCTTAATTTGTTTTACAATTTTATATTATATTTTGCAATAAAAATGGTAAAGAATTTGTTTCTACAATGTAGTTCGAGACGAACCAAGTAGAAGCTGATGAGCATGTGACATCGAGTAGAAAAGAGGGATACACGAGTGAACTGACACTACATTTTAAACTAAATGTTTAAAAGAATTGATAATAACTATTTATACTAACGAAATGCACATTGTTCAAGCCGTTCAAGTCATAAAAGGTGGTCTAAGGAATAGAAGGGAATGTTAGGGTTACCAAGTGTCGAATACAGATTCCAAATCCTAGTACGAATCTTGGACTTGAAACGTTACACTTATAAATTAAATTACTTTGAAAAATATTTAAAATTAATTTACATAGTTTTTAATTTTATTTTACTTTTATTTTACTTTTTTCGGTTAATCTTAAAAACATTTTGGAAGAATTTAATTTTGAATCTTAGAAAACGCAAAATTTGAATTAAACGATCGTGATTTATTTATTTTATTGACCAAAAAGAGAAGAAAATATAAAAATTAGGGTAGAGGAAGGATGTTGGCTTATTTGTAATTGGATTGGGGGGTGGCAAAATGATTTTGGTTCCTTCTCTTTTTCCCACTTTGGATTTCTCCGATCAATCATTCATAGGTTTCTGCAGAGGCAATTGGGTATGATCATGTCCCCAAACGAGATAGCAAGCGACGCGATTAAGCACGCTCTCAGGGCGCTGCGCCAACGCCACTTGGTCGAAGAAGGTGCGCATGCTCCTGCTTTTCTCGCTCTCTCTCGGCCCATCATTTCGCAGGTCTCCTGTTCTCTCTGATTTTCAGTTGATTTCAATTTTCCTGCATCTGAATTTCCCGATTTCGACCTCTCATTATTGCCTACTTTGTAAAAGTTCTTCCCCTTGGTTGGATTACTTCCGATGATTTGGTCCTGAGAACATCGCCGTTATGTTGAACTAATTATCTCGGTTTTAGTTTACACTTGCGTTGCGAACTCACCTTTGATGTTCTTGGGTATTGCGTTTATGATCCTTTCAGAGTTCGGAATGGAAAGAGAAGGCGGAGAAGCTGGAGTTGGAGCTTCAGCAATGTTATAAGGCTCAATCACGATTGTCTGAGCAACTTGTGCTTGAAGTAGCCGAGGCTAGAGCTTCTAAATCTTCGATTGAGGAGAAAGAAGCTGTAATTGATAATTTGCAGCAGGAGTTAAGTCGAGCCAGGTTTGCCCCTTTTCACTCATAATAATTCTGGGCAGGCTGGACTTAGGAATTGAATTAAAGAATTCAATTCAATATGTTTTTATGAATGTTTGAAGCTTCTTATGTGCTTCAGGGACGAATGCTCCCAGCTAAAGGCAGACTTAGAGATGAAAATTAAAGCTCTGGAACTAGCTATATGTGAGAACCAAGAAATTAAAGCGCAGCTTGAAGCAATGACAGTTAAAGCTAAGAATGCAGAGGCTGAAAATAAGATGTTGGTTGACAGGTGGATGTTGCAAAAGATGCAGGATGCAGAACGCCTCAATGAGGTTCTTTACGTTCTTGTTTATTTTTTTTCTTCAAGTTATTGGATTGAAAATATAGAATAGCTATTGTTGAAATAAATGTCACAGTTACATTCTTTCACACGTTGGTAGAAGTGAGCTCTGCAAGTGGTAACATGTCTTAATTTGAATTTCATATCACAATCATGCTTATAAAATAGTTAACCCAAGTATATTTAGTTCGCATGTTCAACACGTAATGATGTAGTCAATTTGTCTTGCTTTATTATTTTTGTTTTTTTGCTTGTACCAGTGTATGTTGACAATAATTTTCATGTTCTTAATTGCAAATGTTCAGATAGAATTATAGTGAAGCATTAAATGGAAAAGTCCAATTTGATATGCCTAATACTTGAATGTCTTGACACACAGCACTTTGGCTGCTAGATCGAAGACTTCGAGCTACCGCACAATATGAATATATTTTAGGGCTTGACTGTTAATTGATATAACAATTTAACAATGAGTTAGATTCAGAATACGAAGATGTTCATACTTGTACTTGTTTCTGTCTTTTTAAGTGTTTGACTTGAAGCAATTACAATCGTAGATCTTAAATAAGGATGCATATAAGTTTATGTGGATCTATCCTTTTAGTTGTTGAATTAGGGAAGTTAATTCTATGACGCTCTTGTCGATTCATAGGTTATATGCCACTTTGTATGCACAAAATGGAAACTTGTTATCATTAGTTCAGTTTGGAGACAGTGAATGCTTATGAGTTCTTGTCTTCCAAAATGAAGTAAATTCTTCCTCTCCCGACCCCTTAGAAAATATAAATGTAAATTAAAATTTCTCTTATGTTATCTATCAGGCAAATGCATTGTATGAAGATATGATTGACCGACTCAAGGCTAGTGGTTTGGAGAAACTTGCTCGGCAACAGGTAGATGGTGTGGTCCGTCGAAGCGAAGAGGGTGCTGAATACTTTATGGAATCCACTGTACCCTCTGTGTGCAAGCAAAGAATCCGTGCCCATGAAGGGGGCTGTGGTACTATATTGTTTGAATATAATTCAGGAAAGTTGATAAGTGGGGGGCAAGATCGAACAGTCAAATTGTGGGATACAAATAGTGGATCATTAAGTTCCACTCTACATGGGTGCCTTGGGTCTGTTCTTGATCTAGCAATTACCCATGATAACAGATCCGTCATTGCGGCAAGCAGTTCAAATAATTTATATGCGTGGGATGTTAGTTCCGGAAGGGTGCGTCATACGCTGACTGGTCACTCAGACAAAGTATGCGCCGTAGATGTAAGCAAAATTTCCAGCCGCCATGTCGTGAGTGCTGCTTATGATCGCACCATAAAAATTTGGGATTTACAGAAGGGTTACTGCACCAAGACCTTCATTTTCCACAGCAATTGCAATGCAGTTCGCTTCAGCATGGATGGACAGACCATTTGTTCTGGCCATGTGGATGGAAATCTCAGGTTGTGGGATATTCAAACAGGAAAATTGGTTAGTGAAGTTGCTGGACACTCCCTTGCTGTTACATCTCTTTCTTTGTCACGTAATGGCAATACAATATTGACCACTGGAAGAGATAACTTGCACAATTTATTTGATATTCGATCCTTGGAAGTATGTGGGACATTACGGGCAAGTGGGAACAGAGTAGCTTCCAATTGGAGCCGATCTTGCATCAGTCCAGATGACAACTATGTTGCTGCTGGTTCTGCAGATGGATCTGTCCACGTTTGGTCGATATCAAAAAACGATATAGTGAGCACCCTGAAAGAGCACACTGCATCTGTTCTCTGTTGTTCATGGAGCGGGCTTGGAAAGCCCCTAGCATCCGCGGACAGAAATGGAATTATATTTACATGGAATTGAAGTGGTGTGGCGGGGACCAACGGTCACAGTTTCTTACACGCTTCCCACTTGATGTACAGAAGATAAAATTAAGTGTGATATAAAGTTTCTTTTCTCACCATCTTATTCATCTGATGCTATAGCCATTCTTCTGCTTCCATTGTTTAAACCAAACACTATAGTTTCAATTAATCATTGATAAAAAGCCTTGCACCATTTGAAACTGATGCAACCAGTTCATGTTATTTTACCTTGCTGATCACTCAGTTCATGAGTTTGTTTGTTAGTACGCTTTTTAAATATGCTTCAGATTATCATCATCCCCTGCTGTCTCTGAATTGTTTTTAGCATAGATTTAAAGAGAATGGGAAAGGTGAGTAGTAGAAGACTGAAGACATAATGATAACATAGAGAAAGCAGGACTTTTATTATTGATATGTGCAACGGCCTTGTGATATTCATATTATAGGCCACACTCACACCCAAAGCCAAAAGCAACAAAAGCAGGAAACTAACAAAGACACAAGCTTAGGTGGGCTTAACCATAACATCTGATGGGATCAGTGCAGCCCTTCTCAGCAGATTGCTTGAGGCCTTTCCCTCCTCCCTTCTCCAGATACTGCTGATGGTACTCTTCTGCCCTATAGAATCTCTTGGCTGGTAGAATCTCTGTTACAATTTCTGTGTCTTTTATCTCCAACTTGTTGGCTTCTTTCGATTGATGGGCTAAACGAGCTTGCGTCTCGTTGAAGTAGTATATCCCCGATCGATATTGGGCCCCCACATCCTGCCCCTAAACAGCAAAACAAAAACTTGTTCAGTTTACAGAATCATGTGGAGGAATCGTAGGTAGAGACTGGAAGTTTTTCATACTTGGCGATTGAGGGAGGTGGGATCGATGCGAGACCAGAAGAGAGAAAGGAGGTGGGTATAAGGACAGAGTTTCGGGTCGAACACGACCCGGACGACCTCCACGTGGTCGGTTGTTCCGGTGCAGACAAGTTTGTAAGTGGGATCCGGCGCGTGGCCTTGAGAGTAACCGACCTCGGTCTTGACCACGCCGAGTGCTCGCTGGAAGGCGAGCTCCGCTCCCCAGAAGCAGCCGGCTCCGAACTCTGCAAACTCGTGGTCCGGATTTTCGGGGACGTCGGTGTCCGGGTCCAGTGCCGGGTTCCGCCCGCCGGAATCAGTGGCAGAAGACGCCATTTCCTCGCACTTGTGACTCGGTTTTGGCGAAGTATTTATTGATTTCAGCATAGGCAAATAAGGTATCATCAAGAAAATGATTTTTTGGTGAAATATATTAGTTTTTAAAAATAATTGGTTAAATATAGGTTGGGTTATAATTACAAATGTTTTTTTTTTTGTGGGAATATCAAGGAGAGGTGGTTATTCAAATATCTTTTTGGTTGATGATATATATCTCAATAAGTTAATCTAATGATTTTTAGATTTTAAAAGGTTTTAATTATGTTTGAGGATATTGAATTAATCGGTTATTTAGTCTTTTTTTAGTTCAATAATTTTGTGGGGTAGAGATTCGAACTTCTAACATTTCGGTCGGTTGATGATATGTGTCAATTAGTTGAACTATGCTGAGATTAGCGTATTCAACTCCTTTGTGTGATAAGTTTTGATGTTGATTAAAGATATAAATTTTAGTTAAGTTGATATGATGTTAATAAATTAAAATTCTTGGTCATTTGATGGCGTATTGAAATAATTTTTTTGTTTGGAATTTTCGTTACTTATCTATTATAAATTTAATATTAAATGAGATGTAAAATAAAAATGCACAGTAAATTTTTGAAATAAAAAATAGACGAGCTGGGCTGTGCTGATGGGCCTAAGAGCAAATCCATTGACGTTTAAATTTCAGGCCCGCCGCAGCACTTATCAATATCCAAGCCCGTCGTCTTTATTGATTGGATCTTAGCTGACGTGTCCAAACTGTGTGGCTTCAAATGGGTTTAGTTAAATATGGGCCTGGCCCAGTTTATGGAGAGACTCTCTCTCTCTCCTCTCCCTCTCTCCCGATTATGATCCCACTTATTTATTTTTAATTAAATTATTTTGATATTGGGTATACTAGCAAGTCAACCAACTCAACATGAACCTAGCTCAACGATAATTGACATCTACGTCTCCCTTTGAGGTGGGAGTTTCAAACCCCTGTATCTTTATACTAAAAAAAAGTCAACCAACGACTAACCTATGATTTAGCCAACCTAAATATAGTTAGAGCGGGTTACATATGTATCTATCTTCATAGTTATATTGGTTCAATTCTCATGTGATATTTACCAATCAATTGTCGATCGAGACGTAATATACTCAATAAATAATTTACGTAAAATATAATAATTTAGTAATTAATTCAATTAGCTAAAGTATAAGTAGGTCGTACAATTCCTAAGAAATCAAACACTCCACCGCCATGTTTCAAAGACATAAGATTGAGATCTCCTAATGAAGTCCACAACCCACTCCTATTTTGAACTAAACATTTTTTTTTTACCACAGTAGAATGGAAATTACAAGAAGCTAAATTTAGGACAAAATCTTGGATGATATTATTTAAAATTGTTGTACCAAACTAAACCAAAAAGAAAGAAATATTCGGTTGCATTGCAATTCGCAATTCGCAATGGCGTGAGCAATGCTAGAAGAATATGAGACAGTTGAATAATTCAAGAGCATCTAGAAACTAGAAATACAATTATATTAAAATAGAGTTTGAAATTAATTAATTAATTAATTAATTAGACATTACACCTAGTTCTTCTTCTTCTTTGGGAAGAACTCAATGTATAGCATAGCATAGCATAGCATAGCTTTCATTGGCATGGGATGGGTATAAGTTTAAAATTAAATTAGGCATTCTTGTTAGAGCCGGCATCATGGAATCCTTAATTTCTTCACTTATTCATAAGCCCTCCATTTGCCTTCCTCCCAACATTTTCTCAATTAAGTGCATTCTAAAAAAATAATTAAAAAATATTTGAACAAGTTTTTCTTTAAATTTTGTCGTCTCCCTGATAACATTTCAAGAACATAGATTAGTGATTAAGCCACCTATTATAGGTTGATAATTCGATCTCCACCCTTATTAATTGAAGATTTGAATCTATGCCTTCATATTTAAGAATATAATATAATAACTAAATTAACAACTTTTATGGTTCAAAATTTCAAATCCAGCGTTTCTCACCTTTGTAATATTGAATTATAATGTTTTGATGTGATCAAGATTGAGAGAAATTATTCTGCTTCTACCTTTGGCTCCAAAATTTTTTATTATTGTTGCCTATATTTGTCAACATTTTAATAAATTATTGATTAAAAAGTATTAAATAAAATTTTAAATTAATTACTTAAACTAATAAACAAAAATATTAAATATGACATGAAATATATATGATTGTAATACACTAGCTTGATGGTTAAGACATTATATATTTATTATGATGTTCAGGTATTCAAATCATTCCTCTCATCATACTCCTAACTAACCGTTGATGGTGAAAAAAACTTTAATACTACTCTGGTTTCTCATGAATTTTTACAATATCTCTACTTTACTTGTGATCGTAAAATCTGACCTAATTTGTGATATAATATTTTCAAGACAAGAAAAATATAAAAACTCCTAAATTTAACTGCTATATATTCAATTGAATAACACAAAAAATAATTTTTACCACAAATAGGAATCACATTGTGATAATCTTAGAGCCTAAACAATTACCCAAAACTGTGACTTTCAAGTTTCACGACCTACGAAGCAGCAACAAATGACATGTGAAAATATATGATCTACCGAATTTAGATATTCCTTTCCTTTACTGCTACGTCTACTAAGCATTATGTGGGAATCATTAACTTAAAAAACATATATATATTTATAAAAGTAAAATGTGAATAAAAAGAGTCGGGTAATTTTTTTTCACCATCCAACCAACCATTTGTAGCTCCCAAACCCTTGGAGGTCAATTCCTGTCTCCACAGACTTGTCTATGCTCCCTCCCACGTACCAGACAACTTGTGGAAAAAGAATAGCCTCGAAAATTTCACCCAACAATGCTATTGCTGTATATAACACTCGCCCTCTCCCTGTGTTTCAGTTTCAGTTTCAGCTCCCATCCATGGCTCCCGACGGAGAAGGCAGCATCAGCTCCGCCGCAAAGGAGGAGGAGGAACTCACCCTCTCCCACCGCCGCCATTGGCTCTCCATGTTGGACGACACTGATGCCAGCAGATGGGTCATTTCCTTCTCCGACGAAATCAAATACCACAAAAGATCCAAACTTGAACCTACTGATCATCACGATGCTGGTGGAACTGGAAGCAGTAGCCTCACCCTCAGCCGCAGCGGCAGCTCAGACAGCTTGACCACTGGCTTGGGCTTCCGCGCCCACATCTGGACTTACAATCAGCGCTACTTGGCCGCCGAGGCTGTGGAGGAAGCCGCCGCCGCCATCATCAATGCGGAGGAGACCGCCGCCGAGGACGACGCTAGCGCCGACGGGATGAGGCTGTTACAGCTTCTAGTTGCCTGCGCCGAGGCTGTGGCTTGCCGTGACAGGGCTCAAGCTTCAATTCTTCTATCTCAGCTTCGTGCCAGTGCCTTGGTCTTCGGCTCTTCCTTCCAGCGAGTTGCGTCCTGTTTTGTGCAGGGCCTCGCGGACCGCCTCGCTCTGGTTCAGCCACTTGGGTATGTTGGGTTCGGCCTGCCCATCATCGCCCGAGCCGACCATTCCTCAGAGAGGAAGAAAAAGGAAGAGGCTTTGAATCTCGTCTATGAGATATACCCACATATCCAATTTGGGCATTTTGTGGCCAATTCTTCAATATTGGAAGTCTTTGAGGGAGAGAATTCTGTCCATGTGGTGGATTTGGGGATGGCTTTTGGTTTGCCGTACGGCCACCAATGGCGCAGCCTCATCGAGAGCCTCGCCGAGATCGAGCCTCCTCGCCGGCTCCGAGTCACCGGCATTGGCCTCTCTGTTAACAGATACAGAGTCATGGGGGAGAAGCTGAAATCTCAGGCAGAAGGGGTTGGGATTCAGGTGGAGATCACGGTGGTGGAGGGGAATTTAGAAAATCTACGCCCTCAAGACATAAATCTCCACGAGGGTGAAGCTCTGGTCATCGCCAGCATTTTTCAGATGCATTGTGTGGTTAAAGAAAGCAGAGGAGCTCTAACCTCTGTTCTGCGCATGATTTATGAGCTTTCCCCCAAGGCTCTGGTTCTGGTCGAGCAAGATTCAAATCACAATGGACCCTTTTTTCTTGGGAGGTTTATGGAGGCTCTGCACTATTACTCAGCCATATTCGACTCTTTGGACGCCATGTTGCCCAAATATGACACCAGAAGAGCCAAGATCGAGCAATTCTATTTTGCAGAGGAGATAAAGAACATAGTGAGCTGCGAGGGGATGGCGAGGGTGGAGAGGCATGAGCGGGTGGATCAATGGCGGCGGAGGATGAGCAGAGCAGGGTTTCAAGCTGCGCCCACTAAAATGATGGCTCAGGCAAAACAGTGGATTGGGAAGTTTAAGGCTAATGAAGGCTACACTGTTGTGGAAGAAAAGGGGTGTTTGGTTCTTGGTTGGAAGTCCAAGCCAATTGTTGCAGCCTCTTGTTGGAAATGCTAAACAAAGTTCTAATGTCGCTGTCCAATTAGTTCTCAACGAGGAAAATTAATGAAAGGGAACTCTGTTTTTTGATTTTATGTCTCTGTTCTTTGCATTTGCCAGCAGCCATGTTTGTTTCTTAAATAACCAAATTCGGGAATGAATTTGGTGGAAACATGGAGCTTTTCTTTTAACAAGTCTTTTGAAATTATGGGTGTGAGTGTTTGACACTCTCTGTTCATCGAACAGAGATGGGAATAAAGAAGTTCAAGTGTCTGATGTTTGGTTTGCAAAATGGCTTCTGGGATTACGTTTCAAATTTTCAAATAGCACAAAAAGCAAGAAAGTAATACACTCACACGTAACATTAAGGATGCTTCATTCAAACACATAAGATTTTCCTGTTCCATAAACAGAGAAAGAGATATCGTAATCAAGTTACCCTACGAAATCCTGTTTATTTATTGCTAAGCTTCTCTTACACTCGATTCTAACTTAAGCAATCGGATATCGGGTATGTGACTAACACAACCGTACTTTTTCTATTTGGTAAAGTTTTGTGAAACCTCCTACCAATTTGATAAGTAGTTAAGTTTACCCATAAAAAATAATCAACCATACCTACCTGATAATTTTTTTTTGTAAATATTTTGAATATAAACAAACAAAGAGTTCAATTATCAAGCTACCCAAAAATAATATTTTATTGTACTAGTTTTGTTTCATAAACTTTTGGGATTTGATGATTTTAGACGGTTTAACCACCCACATAAAAAATAAAACTAGTTGAATAAAAAGAATAAATAAACAATCACAAATTTAATTTGTGCTGATGCCGACGTGTTTCAATTATACTTTTCAAACAAGAATATGTATTAAAATAATTAATTATAAAAATATATTATTTTTTCAACTATCCTTATTTAGTTACGCAATTGCTAACGTAAGACTAGAGAGATTCTTTTCCTATGTACTCAAGAAATAAAACAATGTCTTTGGGATATGACAAAATAGAAGTAGAGCACAACTCGGGTTAAGATACAAATAATTGTTTTATTTCTCGAGCCAATCAAAATATAATACGATGTTACTTTTTTATGTGGGATGAAATTCACCCTAAATGAGATAAGAAATGTTTCTATTTCGGTTGGAAGACATTTATTAGATCTTAAAGGTGGATAATTCGATTTGAATGTCGAACTGAAAAAAGATTTGATTGCTAAAAGATTTTAATATTTGGTTTCCAAAATGGCTATTTGATTACCCTTCAAATTTTCAAATGACAGAAGAAGAAAGAAAATACACTCACATCACACATAACGTTAACATTAAGGAATGCTTGTTTTAGAGGCTAACCTGAGCAGAAGGAGAGAAGCTGTTGGTCATGGTGGAAGATGGCCATGTCTTCTTCCTTCAAGTTCACCCAAGCCTCAACTCCATAACCATCAGAAGCATCCATTAAAACGACTGCGTTTCGAAAAGGCCTGCTCGGGCTGCAAACCCAACTCGGCTTTCCCCATCCAAAATCAGCTTCATACACCGGAAATCTACACCAACTCGTGAAGCTCCACAGCTGCATCTCCCCGCTGGAGATTTGTTTGTCCACTTGCTTAATCAAATCTAACAAGTTTTCTGAATCTTCTAGTTTCTTCACAAATCCAGAGTCGATTTCTTGAATGGCGCTTCTCACTTTACCCGCCAGAAGTGGCAAATCTTCATTCGCCTCCACAGGGGATGTTGCCATTGTGAACCAGGACACGTTGCCGAAGGAATTTTCCGGCAATGGTGGGTCCATCCTCGCCCGTAAGTCCACCGGATACAGCGCTCCGAACACCTTTGCTTTCACTGCTCTCTTTCGAGCCAGTTCCATTAAACGAAGCCAAATGAAGGCTGAAACAGCCACCACGCGCGACGGAGGTTTAACGACGGAGCCACCACCGGCACCGGCAGCCAGTTCTTTCAACGCGGCTATCTGGCACTTGCCAAACACGAGTCTCCTGGTCAGAATCTTCTCTTTTGAGGCCTCGATTCCTCGCTTGAAACCTGGAATTTTTCTCGGTGGGTAGAGTTTCACAGCATCAAAATTGGGCTCCAACACAGAATGTTTATCTCCTCTGGCGACGGCGGCCCACACTTTAACAAATGCTGCGGCGGAAGCCCCATCGGCGAGCTTGTGAGAAAGACAAACGGCAACGGCTACACCGCCGCAGCTGAAGCTACTGAACTGAACGGAAAGCAGAAACTCGCTGCCATTTCGAGAGGTGAAAACAAGCGGTAGCAATCGATGCAAAACACCGATTTCTGGTTTCTCCAAAACAATCGAAATCTCGCAATCGACTCTGGCTTCAGAAAATTCGACTCCAACGTCGTTGCAATCGACATAGAATCTCTCAGTCATTGTTCCGGCCAAGTGATTGAAGCGAGTTAGGGTTCGAGCAAGAGAAGCCCTAACTTGGGCAACTTTGACAGATTGATGAGCAACATTTTCCGATTTCTGAGCGCGATAGAAGAAAATTGCAGGCGTGTAAGAGGGAGGCGCCATCTGATCGATCAATGAAAGTTCGCGGTAAATTAGGGACGGTGGCGTTGGAGATGCGGGCTTGATTATGTCCCTTGAAATGATCTTGACGCCGATATTCTCCATGAATGCTCTGTGTAGAATCGAATGCAGAACCCAAATTAGCGCGCAGGAGGCTTGCAGTATCAGCTTTTTATCCTCCAAGGATATTATGAACAAAAGATTTTTGTTTAAAAAAATGAAATTGACCTTTTATTTTATAATACCTTGATTTGGTTACATATAAAGTTATAATATGCAACAACCTCTTATTGTGGTGGATGGATTTATTTTCATAGTTACAGGTGGAGTTAGGACTTTTTGATTGGAGATATGTGTTTCAACCATGCTCACTTTGACATTTTTATACTTATTGGTTGATTCTCTTTTAACTGTGTTTATTATATATTATCAGTAAGTAGGAAACTTTGTTTTTTTATTAGTTTATTGATATATTTGTTTTTCTAAATTTAGACTAAAATTTTTAAAAAGTAATAAATTAATTACAAAATTAAAATTAGAAAATATATAACTAAAGACAAATTATTCTAAGATTCTTTTTAATACATCAACAGGTAGGGACAGAGATTCGATTCTACAATATTTTGGTTTGGTTGTAGATACATATTTAGTTAAGTTAGGTTCATGTTGACAAAATTATTATAACATTTAAAATATCAAATTTGTGGCACAAGATAATATAATTTTATGCTAATATTCCTTACAAACAACAATCAAATTTGACTAATTGTGCTAATTTGATTGCAAACGAACAAACTTAAATAAATTAATTCACTATATATTTGTATATTGAGTGAGGTGCGGGAGAGAGAATTAGTACACAAAATATGCATAATTCATGGAAAAAATTGCACCCACTTTGTAGGGACGAGACGAGCATTAGCAACTTTTGCTAATGGACAATAAATAAAATAACAAAAAGAAAAAAAAAACTTTTTTTTTAATTTATAAATTATCATCTCTTTTTGGGACGGCCATAGCTTTTTATAACACAAGTTGGAATATGAAAGTGCAACATAATGTCTCAATCAACCCACCACTTTCGTTAAAAAGAAAAAGGAAAAAAAGCGCACCACTCTTACTACTACAATTGTAATATATGTTTATTTCTTAAACTAAAGCTTTCTTTTGTTTCCACACACCTAATTATTTTTTGGTAAGGCCTACAGCCTATTTTGTATTAGGTTGATTGATATAACCTCCTCTCTAAATTAGTTTAATTTATTTAGTATTATTTATAAATTAGTTATACTTAGGTTTTATAAAAAGGTTGATTGTATTCACTTTAAAATCATCTCAATACAGAAATTGTTTTATCTTTATCCCTCTCTTTAGTCCTATTACTTTCTATATTTTTACAATGATATGATATTATCGGATCCCAACATATTTAATAGATTAATTATATGGTAGAATAAATACAAGATTTATGTTCTTTTCAATTCAACAATATATAGGGATGTAGATTCAAAACCTGATTTTTTCGTTTTGGAGAGAAAAGGAAGAACTTCTATCAAGGAGAGAACGAAGAACTTCTATTAGGGAGGAGAGAGAATGTGTTTCTTGGAATGTCCTGTATTGGTCTAATCTCTTTATCCATATATAGGTAGGAACGCTTTTTTTTTTTCTTTTTGATACAACAAGTAGAGGTTGAGGGATTCGAACTCATTGACATCTTAGTCAAAGATAAATATCAATTACAGCTAAGCTACGCTCACGTTGACTAGAGTATAAATGTGACTATTTAGCTTACTCTTTGATGAGACATAAGTCAAAGTCATATCTTATTGAGTTACAAAAATTTCAGGACCAGTTTTTTAATTGAGTCAAAATATCAACCAATCAGATTTATATATTTACTAAAAACATAAAATTATTATGTAAAAGAAATATCAATATGATAACGACACAAGTAAGTTTTGAAGTTTGACTAAATCATAGGAACAAAATTGAAAGTAAACTAAATCTAAATTATAGGGGCATAATTCAAACTCAGCGCAAACTATATAGAAGGAAAATTGAAATTTTTAAAACATAGAAACCAATTTCAAACTTTATTCAAACTCTTAAAGTTATTTAAATATTAAAATACCTCCACTATCATAATTTTTTTTTAACACAAAATTTGACACGCGAATATTGCAAAAGATTATAATATTAAGAACTGATTGTACTAAAAAAAACATATATTCAGAATCGAATTAAAATATTTGTTTTAGAAAAATTGAACTCAACAGGGCGTTGAATTATTAATACGCTAAAACAGTAATCTTGGAAATTAGCCTTTTTTTAAGTCACACATTTAACTATTATAATATATTTATTTCAAATCAAACTTATTATATTGTTTTATCTATGCTTCTGAATTTTAAACTACTTTAAATGAATGACTCCGGGTTTTAAAAATAATCAACGACGTTTTGGAACAACAATTATTTGGTCAAAGTCTTTTACAATATGCAAAAATCAAAGAAACAGATGGCATTGCCAAGCCAGATATTTATATGCATATTAAATTCGTTGCAATTATACTTTTGAAAATGTTTGCAAAGCATGTCCAAATCTCTATATTTGTAGGAAATTAAAAAATAATAGTAAATAAACACAAAAGTAGATGTAATTTAATTTATACAATCAGACCGGGATGCAAATGAAGTTTTTCTTAATAAAATGAATTACATTATATATTGAGAAAAAAAAAACATTTATATCTGTTTTTTAATTAAAAAAAAAAAGATGAGAAATTGAGTTTTTAAGCTTTAAGTATATGTATAGGTAACTAACTCAGAATCTTGTTGGAAGGAGGCCATATCTTGTTCGTTGAGCGTGACCCACGCTTCAATCCCGTCGCCGTCTCTAGTGGTCATCAGAACCACCACGTTCTTGAACGGCCGGCTCGGACTGCAAACCCACGTCGGTTTCCCCCACCCGAAGTCCGCTTCGTACACCGGAAACCGGCACCAGCTCGTGAAGTTGCAGAACTCCACCTCTCCCGCCGCCGGATGCCCGTGTTTCCCCGTCTTGCTCCACATATGCGGCGGCACTCCGGCCTGCTGCAAGTTCCGCACCAGATCGCTGTCGATTTCTTCTATTGCGTTCCTTATCTGCTTCACCAAGTACTGGTGCCGCTTCTTCATTTCAACCTCTGCCACGGCGATCGCGAACCACCACAGGTTGCCGGAGGAATTCGGCGGCAGTGGCGGATCCATCTTCCCGCGCAGGTTCACGGCGTGGATTGCGGCGTATATCTTTTCGTTTTCTTGTTCTGAGTTTCGATTTATCTCCATGAATCGCTTCCATAAGAATGCCGAAACGGCCTCTACTCTCGTCGGTGGCTTCTCCAGCGAACCGGCCGCCGCTTCTCGCCGGAGTGCGGCTATGTTTGCTTTGTCGAACACGAATCTTTTGGTCACAATCTTGTCGTTTAGGATGACCTTGCTTCTCTTCAATCCCGGAATTTCCTTCGGCGGAAAATACTTTGCGCCGTCGAATAAGGGTTCCGAAACCTGCATTTCGAAAAAATTGGAAAGGAATTGTTCTTAATTTGTCACTTTCTGCTGAAGAAACTACATTAGGGCTCGAAATTGTATTTGACGGAAAAGTTAATTTTGGAACCTGATCGCTATCTCCCCGATTAATGGCCGCCCACTCTCTGACAAATACGGTGGCGGAAAGTCCGTCGACGAGCTTATGAGTAACACACAAAGCAATGGCCACGCCGCCGCAGTCAAACAGATTTAATCGGACGGCGAGGATTACGTCTCTTCCGATCTCCGGTTCCGCCAGATTAGCGTAAGGTTCAAACGGCAGCAACCGATGTAGAACTTTGAAATCAGGGCTTTCCACGACTTCCAATAGCTTGCAATCGACTCGCGCTTCAGAATACTCCACGCCTTTGTCGTTGCAGTCGACGGAATATCCCTCCGTCGATAAAGTTCCGGCGAACGGATAGAACAGAGTCAAAATCTCCGATAAAGACTTCTTCAACTGGCGACTTCCGGAAAACCGATCGGCCCCGAGGTCCTCAACGGCAGCGTAGAAAAAAATGATCGGAGTATAATTGGACGGCGAAATCTGGTCGAGCAGTGAAAGCTTGAGGTTTCTGAGCGGCGGCGGAGTCGGAGAAGACGGCAAGATGATTTCATCGGAGGTCACCTGAATATTTCTGATCGCCATCTTCTCTGAATACAGAAGCTTGGATCAGAATCTTGTTCTTATATATGTAAAAATGGGTAATTTGTTTATAAATTTATTTATTTATTTTATTTTTGAAACAAATGTTTATAAATTTATTTAAGGCTACGGAAAGACGAAGCAGATTAAATACTGAATTGGTCAATGGCTTGACCTTTGACAGAGGAAGAAGGTTGCATTACAATGCGACTTTCCCTTAGGGAAATTATATTATCAGTGCCCCATTTATGAAACCGTTTTAATCAAATAATATATTATTAAGATTAATTTTATGATCTATTTTAATTATTAAATAATGTTAAGTTGGGGAAATTAGTCGAAAATTAGGGGCTGCTAAACAAATTTGATGGCTTGGATTTGAATTAACTAAGTACATGTGAATAACAAAATTTAAAGGTTCGAATTCACATATTATTGAAGTAGCAAAAACATGATCATAAACTTTTAAAGTTGTCTTAATAATCCTTCTAAAAAAATAAAAAAGTGTCTTAATAGTATATGTTCTTCACAAATTTTCCACGTTAATAACTAAACTACATATAAATTTGAGATTTTAGAGATTTATTTTAAAATTTTTAAAACATAAATATTAAATAGATATCATAAAAATTTCAAAATTTACTAGATAATTTGCAAATAACATAGATCAAATAGGACACAACTTCGAAAGTTCGAAACCAGGCTATAAAATACAAATATAAAAATAATAAAAAAATGAGTCATTTGACGCCTAATTATTTAATCTAACATTTTTAATATGGCCCCAAAACGAGCACAGTTAAACAGTAATTATAATATATCTCCAACTAAGAGGTTGTGAGTTCGATCCACATCCCGATATGTTGTACTGCGAAAAAAATCTTTAATGTGGTATTTAAAAAAAAAAGTAAATTTGAAAACACATGAGATGAAAATACTTTTATAATTTCCGCTAAATGATTTGAAAATATAGTATGCTTAACAAGTTCGATAAATTAGTAGTAGGGGCAATGTAAATATGACAAAAACATTTTTTTTCCAAATATAGCACTTTTTTAAAAGAAAAAATTGAGATCCAATTTTAAAATGACAACTTTACATAAATGATATATATCTGTAATATATCTATATCAGTAATATATCTTACTACTGATATATGTATGTGATATACATATGACATAAGTGTCTAATATATTTGCAATATATATATAATATATATCTAAGATATTACAGATATCAGTGCTTGATACACTACTGATACGATTATCTAATATACTGTTGATATGAATAAAAATTTGTACTGAAATTTAAAAAAAATAGGTAAAATATTTTGAAATACGTACAGATTTTTGAAATACTGTTGATAAATTTTCCTGAGAAGTATTGATTAGGTGATAAATTTGAATGGGTATTAGAAAATGTAAAATAATATCATTCGAACGTGAGAGGTATTATAAATTTGTTGTTTGCTAGGCGAGTTCAATTAGTTAAATTAATAATTATATCTCGCCCATTGGTTTCATATATATATATATACTATTTTTGATATTTATGGAATTTAATATTTAAATATTCCTAATTTTTTATTAAACGACGACCAAGTCTCGTCGACAATTTTTATTTTTCATAGCTTTTTTATTTTTTATTTTTTGGTTTTAACGGGATTAAAAATGTAGTTCCCTGCTTTGACAAAGTGCAGTATTCGACATGTCAGCCCAAGAAATCCATGGAAGAAACGACATGTTGCACTTGCACATCGATGAATAAAAAATAAATAAACAAAATAACACAAACAAATCAATCGTTTTCTTCTTTCGTTAAAAAAAACACACACACACATTGTTTTAAAATTTTCTGTGAGTTTTAACATAATCAGGATTGATGAGTTTCAGTTTCGTTATTAAATTTTATTATTTTAACGATTAAACTTTTTAAACCAACCTTTACATAGTCTAATTAGTTAAGGTACATATCTCCGATTAAAATATAAAACTTCCTTTAACATGAAATTTTGCTTTTGACATCTCTTCGATCTTAGTGTAGTTCTTTATTTCCTTAATGAGCTGATGTCAGGTTTATTTCAATCTAATTGGGGTGTCCCTAATACAATTACTAATTAGGGTGAGAACAATTTCATTTCTCATTCAAACTTGAAACTGGGAATTGGGAATTCGGCAAATATATGTTCCTTATTCTTCAAGCAAAATGACTTTTCAAGTTTCAACCTCCTCTGGAGAATAATGAGATTTGCAAGTGATGTTTCAAACAATTCATACTGGAGATAAGAGATGATGGGGAGGATCAAGAAAACTTGTGAGGAAAAGCAAAAGAACAGCGACATGTCAAGCATGGAGAAAAAATTTCGAATTCGAAAATTATCGAATCATCCAGATCAATAAGGGGTAAAACACAGGATATTATCAACAAATTAGCATTAAATACAAACTTTACCCGGAAGCTAAACATGGACTGCCATCTCTATATTTAGAATTCACAAGCACCTGGCGCAGCTTTCGGTTTTCGACAAGTGAGACTCGCGCACTTGCATGGTCTAGCTAACGTACTGCTTCTCAAGAAGGCTTCCACAGAATGCCAAGTCAAATCGCTCTTCTGGAGGATCTCCAATGCAGTCGAAGACTGCATCTGCATTTACAAAATCTTCCTCAGCCGTGTACCTGAAACATGGATTAACGTATATATCTTATCTTGAGAAGAAAAGAATGTAAAATTCACATGTGACGAGACAGCTAGTTATGATCATCCTGTGAAATAAATGAATCAAATGCAATTCTTAACTGAAGCAAGTTTCGAGCTTCATCTGAGAAACTTAAAAAATTTGCACAAAAATTAACACATGATCCAGTTTGAACAACATGTCCCAATAAACTAAGCGTATAGGTGTTAGATGAGAAAACTCACCCGCTCTTTGTTACTATGCACTTCATTCCAGCAGATTTGGCAGCTGCAAGGCCAATGGCACTGTCCTCCACCACAACACAACTACAACAAATAGAGGTGCATAAATTCTCTGCACATGGTTGCCATTTATATCAACATGATGATTTTACTAAGTTCGACGGGACTCTTATAGAAGAAGATATTTTTCAAGTGATCCTATCACAACATCAAATATTCCTATTCCCCCTGATCATGCCGTACCTTGAAGGGTCAACACCCAAGGTGTTGGCTGCTAAAATATAGATGGCCTGCAAGGGAGAAAGGCAATTTATAAGCAACAGAGCACTAACTTCTTCTTTTTAAGGACAAAATTGACAACAATACTTACCTCCCATCATTTAAACATTTGATAACTATTTATTTTTTTGAAACTAAATTCTCTCTCCCTTTATGCATTCCTCTCTCCTATTTGTCAAAAATTTAGTCTAACAAGTTTAGTATGCCTTGAGTAGATGAATGTCTAACATGTATCCCAATGTGACCATGTGAAATAATAAAGCAAAAAGTAGTTCTCCGTTTCAACAATTTATGATAAAGTAAAAACTTCGACTAGTATGAAATTAAAAATCTACGAAAACTTCATCGTTGGTCTCTAGATATGTTCTTAGCAATCAATATTGAGAAGGATAGAAATCTTACAGGGTCAGGCTTCTTTCGAGGCACTACATCCCCCGCAAATATCTTGATCTTCTCAGCTCTTTCAGGTCCCAGCAAACATGATACTATCGCAGATACCTTAAATTCAATGGATGAAGTTCAGCCACCAGATGTAATAATACTTTGATTAAATTAATTACAAACACCATAGTTTTCTTGTAGTGTGTACAATTAAATATAAGCATAATTGTGGAGGGGAAAAAGAGTTTTCTTCAAACAGGCCTCTTCATTTCAATTTCTATCCAGTTTCTACAACAATTATATAACATTAAAATCTACACAACATAATAGAAATAGGTGAATATCTGTAGAGCTATAACAAATTAAATGTAAAGCCTTACTCAGAACACATACAGTATAAGGTAAATTTAAAGATGATTTTCACATACAGCAAATTACAAATACAAACAACTAATACTATAGAACCTGGTTGTGCATACCGCCTTCTCATTGGAAGTGCTACAAACAGCAACTTTCACTCCCTTTGCTAATGCCTGATCAATCAGCCTGCATAATTTAAATACAAATCTCTCAAAAATAAGGAAAAACCTATGTGTTAGTAATCTCTTTGAAATTCTCAATCACTCAGTTGGCTGTGGAGAATTTTCCAAAGGATGAAAACTAGGATAAGTTTAATTGCACAGTGTAAGGTAAAGCAGAGAAATATATATGTCAACAAGTACTGAAACAGTAAACTGAACTGCGGAACGGTATGATGATTCAGAAGGAAAAAGAAATCATGCTTGACTATCCAATTACTCAAATCATACCAGACCGTTGTATTTCTAAGCCTAAGTTACCCAATATGGAGTCAATGAGTATCATGCATTAGCAAAGACTTGACTTGTTTTGTATGTATTGGCTTCACGGCTCTGCATTTCATTTTGATAATATATAAAAAAACTAACTGTTTTATTGCTGCAGTAAAGCATCAAGGTGAGGGGAGTTTGTAAGGTAACTGACTTTGCAACACCAGGTCGAAGAGGAAGTAGTTGCTTCTCAATAAGAGCCATGAACAGATCTGTCTTTCGCTTGTGAAGTCCAGCTATGAATTCCTTTCTTTCATCTTCACCCTTTGGAGCCTTTTCTGGCCATCCAACCTTGTTAAAGTACGCTGTCATCCTACAAAAGCCAAATATCATATAACAAATGGCACCAGTTTATTGTAAAGACTCTGACGAGAAAACAAAACTCTACTCCAATGCCGAGCGCTAATTGTGAGAGCACATGAACTTAAATTATCAAGATCTCATAAGCCACAAAATTACCTTTCTTTTCCACCTCCAATTTTGAGTAACTCACCATACAAATCTACATCCCAGGTAACGCCCAATTCTTTCTGTGGAATCATTTCAATTAAGTTATTGTTAGGTTTAGATTATCCAAAATCCGAGCATCAGAACTAAAATTTAAACCAGTTCAAGCCCATGTTTTATGATTCTCCTGAATCAATTAATAAACGAAAACAGGAAAGAAATTTCCAACATGAGCTAAGCTCATGGTTAAGACATCTCTACTTCCTCTAAGAGTTAATAGGTTCAAATTTCCTCACCCCACCTAAAAAACAGGGAGTAAATTTAAATCAATTAAATGCCACTAAGTTCATCGGAGTTTTATATCATCACCAAGTACCAAACATCAAGAAATATAAACAAAGCCCTCCTATTTCTGTAACTAAAGAAACTTGCAGAGTTCAATGATCAACGACATAAACCCAGATAAATAAAGAAGAAATAGCGAAAGAAAAATAGCGCGAGACCTCTTCAAAAGTCTCATTGAAGGAAATCCGATGCCCATCCTTTTCAGTATCAACGAGTACGCCATCGCAATCAAAAAGAAGAGCAGACGGAACAGCAGAAGAAGAAGAAGCCAAGCAAGTGATCCCATTAGAAGCATTATTGGCGGCAATGAGCCTTGTCCTCGATGTTCGATGCAAACTAATCCTTTTGCCCACGAGGAAAGTAGATAAACTGCTCGTACGGGGTTTGAAATAAGCAACCGTGGTGGCTGTATTGGGAAGGCAAGGCGTCGCCGAACCGGAAATCGTCGCCGAGGAGACGGAAAGTGCAGTTGACGCCATCAGAATCCAGTCTCCTCTATTTCCTGTTGCTTCCGAATTTCTGAAACTTCGAATTCAGTTCACCATTTTAACGGCTTCTACGACGAGCTTATCCACCGGAACATGAACACCACAGAAATGTGGACTGCGCGCCATGGGGAGATTCCGTCCAAACGACACCGTTTGCAGTAAAATGATCAAGGGTATTTACGTCTTTTCTGAGGGTTAATATTCCAATAAATTATGCGGAGTGCTAAAAGCCTAAAACCCCCAAGAGAGAGCCGAAGTCTGGCGGGGAAGGTTTTTTCTTCTCATGGCGACTGCAGTAGTAGCGGAATCGAATCGGAAACTGCCTCGGCCTGGTCGCGGCGGTTTTGAAGCTCATGGATTTTCTGAGGAAGAAGCACGAGTTCGTGCCATTGCTGAGATTGTCAACTCCATGGTCGACCTTTCACGTAAAGGGCAGAACGTCGATCTGAACGCGCTGAAATCCGCCGCCTGCCGAAAATATGGCCTTGCACGGGCCCCGAAGCTGGTTGAGATGATCGCGGCACTTCCTGAGTCGGACCGCGAGGCACTGCTGCCAAAGCTTCGAGCCAAGCCGGTTCGGACAGCCTCCGGTATCGCGGTTGTGGCTGTAATGTCTAAACCACACCGGTGCCCTCATATTGCTACCACGGGAAATATTTGTGTTTACTGCCCCGGAGGACCTGATTCGGACTTTGAGTACAGTACTCAATCTTACACTGGCTACGAGCCCACAAGCATGCGTGCAATTCGTGCAAGGTTGGCTGCAACTTCTAAGCTTTTCTACTCCCCCTTCTTCTTTCGCTCTATCTTTATAATTATGTTACTGGGTACATTTCATATCTGTATCTAAGTGGAAGAAAGAGCATATTAGGTGAGGGTATTTGAGAATTTAGGACGAGCAATGCCAAGAACTTGTATGGGCACGGGCCACAGCTAACATTCTGCTTAAGAAAGATTAAAACAAAATTTATAACTGAGGTGGGATTCTTTGAAACCTCCATGGAGGGTGAGGAACACGAATACGAGTAACCGACCTTCCCTGTAATTAAAAAATAATCACCCTTTTTTGTCCATAAGCAAGTGAGAATTCTTTTCAGAACAATCTTCTAGTTTGCAAGTGATATTACCCATGCCATTTTCTTTGCCTGATATATGAATATGTTTGGGGTTTACTACATTCATTGTTGTTTGCATTTGTCGTTCCTTAACGATATTGAGTTGTTCTGCATACGTTCTGATATCAATTTCATCTTTTATGCCACCGCCTTGATTGTAGATACAACCCATATGTCCAAGCTAGAAGCAGGATAGATCAGTTGAAGCGTTTGGGTCACAGTGTTGATAAGGTTCCTCTCTCGTCTCTGAAAATTCTTCTGTAGAATAGTAGATGCTTATGAATTTTTTTTTGTTTATTTTCAGGTTGAATTCATCTTAATGGGTGGGACTTTCATGTCGCTTCCAGCTGATTATCGTGATTACTTTATACGGAATCTTCATGATGCTTTGTCAGGGCATACTTCTGCCAATGTCGAAGAGGCAGTTGCCTACTCAGAGCACAGTGCAGTTAAATGTATAGGCATGACAATAGAGACGTGAGTTTTGTCCCCCAATTTGTCAACCTTTCAGCTCCAGATTTCTGCATCTCTGTATCGTACCAGTTGAAACTGTTTTAAAACTTTTGTCTTTGTGAAGTCTTCATTGAGTATATTTTTATTGCAATTATATCACATACAATAGAGTACAACTCCTAACTATTGTTGTGGCCTATCGTAAGCTCCTGACTCCTGAGATTTTGTTTGTTTAATTAACGAAAAAAGGTCTCATTGCTTCTTTGGTTTTGCTCAACCAGGAGGCCTGATTATTGTCTTGGTCCTCACTTGAGGCAAATGCTTTCTTATGGTTGTACGCGGTTAGAGATTGGAGTTCAAAGTACATATGAGGATGTAGCTCGAGACACTAACAGAGGGCATACTGTAGCTGCTGTGGCTGATTGCTTTTGCTTGGCAAAGGATGCTGGTTTCAAGGTGTGTATATGTAATTTGCAAAGAATAGAGTAAAGTTGACTCATAGCTAACCATTTTGCAATCAACCTTAGATCTGTGACAGGTTAAGGATTTGAATTTATTACTCATGTGACCTGATCTTCTGTTAATAGACTCTCCCCCTGTAGGGACTCCTTGAAGCTTGGGTAGCAGTCATCATCATCTTGCATCGTTGACTATGCATTTTTCCTTGGTTTTCTGTAATTCAAAACTAATTTTTTGCTTTTCTCATAGGTTGTAGCACACATGATGCCTGATCTTCCTAATGTTGGGGTTGAGAGGGACCTGGAAAGTTTTCGTGAGTTCTTTGAGAACCCTTCATTTAGAGCAGATGGGCTCAAAATATATCCCACGCTTGTCATCCGTGGAACTGGGCTCTATGAACTGTGGAAAACTGGCAGGCAAGTAGTTATTGGATATTCAATCTTATTAAAGAAAATATTATCTTCTCAACCTTTTGAGTAGAGATGTCTGAATCATGTCCCTTATCTTATAAATTAAATATTCATGTACCAATTGAACACTTACATGCGAAAATAGTAATGTGATAACTATTGCAGATCATCATTAATGTTCGGTTATGTGGGTGATAGTATGGATTGTTCATTTGCAGGTATCGAAACTATCCACCGGAGCAACTTGTGGATATTGTGGCAAGGATCCTAGCTATGGTACCCCCCTGGACTCGAGTTTATAGAGTTCAGCGGGATATCCCTATGCCTCTGGTTACTTCTGGTGTAGAGAAAGGAAATCTTCGAGAGTTAGCTCTAGCTAGGATGGATGATTTGGGCTTGAAATGCCGTGATGTTCGGACACGAGAAGCTGGAATTCAGGTTAATGGGAAAATATATCTTTATTTTTGTTCTTTAGTCACACATCCTATAGGCCCAATTCGACCTAGTACTTTTCCCTGTTGGGGAGGATGTTAAAATATCTCCTATTTCATGACTTCAGGACATTCATCACAAGATTAAGCCTGAAGAAGTTGAGCTGGTCCGTCGTGATTATACAGCAAATGAAGGCTGGGAAACGTTTCTGTCATATGAAGATGTTCGCCAGGTATCCTCTCTCTCCACATATCCTCAGTTTTTCGTGCAACTGCAAACTCAAGGTTCTTGCAAACTGCAAATTCACATGTTTTCGTTGTGTGGATGGTGCATGCTATGAGGGAGTAAATTATATCCACATGGCTTCCGCAGGTGAAGGAGTGGGGAGTTCCCTTATAGTTTCTCATAATTGGAAAAGTACATGTAAAATACTTAAGATTTTGTAGGTTTCTTTTGATTTGCCCTCACCTTAAATTTTCAGAAATGAAAGATTTTATTTATAAAAACTTAGCATATAAACCTTTGCCCCTCCGTGAGAAAATTTCTGGCTCCACACTGGGGTGGCTGGGCCTTAGCTTGCTTGGTAGTTTGTGTATACTAAAACTTGAATTTCATTGTGTACGTTTTTCTCTATGCAGGATATTCTTGTTGGTTTGCTTCGGCTGAGGAGATGTGGTCGCAACACCACTTGTCCTGAACTGGTTGGGAAGTGTTCCATTGTTCGTGAACTCCATGTGTATGGAACTGCCGTTCCAGTTCATGGACGTGATACTGAGAAGCTGCAACACCAGGTAACAGAGCCATTTTCCTATGATGCGAACATCTATTATATGATGTTCCTTTTCTATGTAATCATTTAAGTGTAGTATTACCTGGGTTTAGTTTTGTATATTTGCCACGTTTTGCGGTAGTGACTAGCGCGTTGTGCATTCATCATCTTAGTGCTGCATCAAAAGAATATCATTTTCTGTACAAAAGAATTAGAGTGTTGCTTGATATCCACAGGGTTATGGCACACTTTTGATGGAGGAGGCGGAGCGGATAGCTCGTGTGGAGCATCGATCAACAAAAATTGCTGTTATATCAGGCGTTGGAACCCGCCATTATTATAGAAAATTAGGGTACGAACTTGAAGGCCCTTACATGGTGAAAAGCCTCGACTGACAAGATTGAATTATAATAGGAAGCAATTTTGTGATGATGGTATCAGTTAAAAATGTTATAAGACTCATATTGTAAACCATTTTTTCCTTTTATTTCCCTACCTTTGTTCTAAGTGCAGCCTCCCTTCATTTATTTTTGGTTGTAGAATTTTCTTTGCTGTGTCTAATTATAAGTTTTACATTTAGTCAGTAGATAGTTTCTCCTTACAGATTTTGGTTGGAGGTCTCATCTCAAGGGACTTTATGTAAAATGTTTTTAGCCGCTCCCAAGCCAAGAACTATTAATTTAAATACAAAATTAAAAGTTTATAATATCTATTACACAGTTTTTTAAATTCAATATATTTTTTTTTTTACTATCTTGTTTTTCAACTACAAATTTAGCACAATAATTTAACCCATACATTATCTAATTTTTGAACTCGAACCAAAAAAAAAAAAAAAGTAGTGCCGCATTATATCAATAATAATAAAAGAAATGGACGGAAAAGAAAAAACTATAGGTCCGGTCCAGGCCGGGGTTAAGAATTAAGATATTGTATATGCTTTTATGAGCCGACACCAGCAGCTGTAGTACGCTCCGATCCTTCTCCTCCGCTCACTCGTCTTCCTCTTCTCCCCTCCTGGCTGCCATGAACATTCAGCAGCTCATGCTTAAATCAAGCTTTATTCCCCTATTCTTTACCTTATCAGGCAAGTCCAAGATGCCAAAAGTTGCTGCTCTGTGCACCACTCCCAACTTCTACGCACAAGTTACGCCAAGTGTTCGAGAAAATGCCTCAACCAGGAGCTCCACCACAATCTCCCCTGCTTCAGCCTACATCCACCTCCCCTTTTGTCGAAAACGTTGCCACTACTGCGACTTCCCCATTGTCGCCTTGGGATCCTCCTCCTACCAAACCGACGACGACCCTCGAGTTCGAAACTACGTGGAGTTGCTTTGTCGAGAAATTAGCGCCACAAAATCAGAATTCGGAGCCGACCGGCCCCTTGAAACCGTCTTCTTTGGGGGCGGCACCCCTTCTCTTGTGCCCCCGAGGCTTGTCTCGTCCATTTTGGATGTGTTGCGATTGAAGTTTGGGTTGGCTAAGGACGCTGAAATCTCTATTGAGATGGACCCCGGAACTTTTGATGCGAAGAAAATGGAGGATTTGATGAAGTTGGATGTGAACAGAGTGTCTTTGGGTGTTCAAGCGTTTCAGGAAGAGTTACTCAAGGCTTGTGGGAGGGCTCACGGTGTTCATGAAGTTTATGAAGCTATTGAGATTATTAAGTCGTGTGGCCTTAAAAACTGGAGTATGGATCTCATCTCTTCTCTCCCTCACCAGGCAGCAGAGATGTGGGAAGAAAGTTTACGCCTCACCATTGAAGCGCAACCAACTCATGTTTCAGTATATGATTTGCAAGTTGAAGAAGACACAAAATTTGGGATGTTGTAAGTAGCATTGATGATTATTAATATTTTAGATTGATGCTCGATGTGGGCCTTAAGCTTAAACTTGGGCATGCGCAGGTACAAGCCAGGGGAGTTTCCATTGCCTTCTGAGACAGATTCAGCTGGTTTCTACAGAATGGCTTCAAGGGCACTCGCCGAGGGAGGATATAACCATTATGAAATCAGTAGTTACTGTAAGGACGGGTTCGAGTGCAAGCACAACTCTACTTACTGGAAGAACAGTCCTTTCTATGGTTTTGGTTTAGGGGCAGCTAGTTATCTTGGTGGATTGAGGTTCTCCAGGCCTCGGAAGTTGAAGGAATACACCAATTATGTGCACAACTTAGAGAAGGGGATGGTGGATTGCCATGGAGATAATGATGTTGATGCCAAGGACATGGCTATGGATATTGTGATGCTCTCCCTCAGAACTTCCTCAGGCCTTGACTTGCAATCTTTTGGAAAAGCATATGGAGGCCATCTTGTCCATTCCCTTTGCAGGTCCTATCAACCTTATATCAAGAGTGGCCATGTGGTTTGCTTGGATGAGCAGAGAAGAGCTCTGACAGTCGATGAATGCAACGATTTGCTATTGAGTGAAGATGATAACTTAAGGGAGCTGCGGCACATTCGACTCGGCGACCCAGATGGGTTTTTATTATCAAACGAGTTGATCTCTCTCGCATTTAGAGTCATATCTCCCTGAAGTTTAGAATTTCAATCTTATTTGGTGCTCTTTTATGATACCAAATCTTGTGTCCCAGTTCGTATTTCCAGTACAGTTGGCTGCAAAGAGAGTCCAAAGATATTGAGTAGATTGGCGTTGTTTTTCAAGATAATGCAGAGATTATGCATCTGGGATGAGAATCTTGCCTACAAATTGTTGACGAAATTCGTCATTACTCGAATCACAGTAGTATGATCAGGGAACATAAAGTTTACTTAATCACATACCAAAGGATTGTTCTCAATGGGAGAGTTGCAGCTAATATGACTATGCGTAACCAACAAGTTAGGATGAGACCTCCAGCACGACCACTTGATGAAATGTGAAGGAAAGTGGGACAAATGACCAAGACGAACATAGATGAACTTCCGATCAGGTTGGCAGTTGGGCAGAGATCGCTATGTTTTTTAGTAATTGATTAAAGAGGGTGGTGCTGCTCCTTCGAAGATAATGCTGATAATGGGAACTAATATTGAGTTGAATTTACGAAAAGCAACGCAATGTTAGAACAAGACTGATCCAGCAATAGCATGATCTTAATGGAGGGCAAGGTCACTTCAAAAAAGGGAAAGCTGTGAATTTTTAGAGAAAAAGAAAGGAATTTTTTTCATTATGGTTGGATGACTTCTAAAATACGTCTCAAAACCTGTCCAAATGTAAAGGTGTGGCTTCAAAATTCCAACTTTTTTACCACTCCCAGTCCCAATTGTGTTTTGATGCAGCATTGCACCCTTTGATGTTCATGGTTGTAGCCAAACAATCTTCGGGAGAATCCTGTATTTTCACACTGCTAATCAACCTCCACTCTCTTTTTTGAGAAAAACCCGAACTTTTCAATGAATCAAAACAAAAGGGCCTACAAAAAGAGTCTGGAGCCAAACTAAAAGAATAGGCTCCAATCAAACCCCACCCTCTCTCAAGTATCTTTTTTTAATACACGAGTATAACAGTTAAAATTAAAGAAAATATATGTAAAAGAACAGAGATACATCTTAAGGAATAGATGATGCCTGCTAAAGAAGCAGATACATTGGTCCAGCCTAAAATTTACCAATGCCTTGAAATTTTGTAAAGCAAGGATAAGGATAACATTACAGCGTTAAATGCAGGAAAAACCATCGCTCTGTTTAATGCAAACTGCTGTGATTATACATTCAGGTGACGCCATGGATGGCTACAGAGCATCTGGCTGAAGATATTTTACCTTTGGATTAGATTAACAAACAAAGCCCTAGAAGTTGTTGCCCAACTTAAAAATCTAATAATGTAGTTCTATCCATGCGAAGGGGGCAAACAAAGGGTGCTACCAGTTATAAGGGTTTGGTTTTACGTCCAGCTTTTGAGATTCGTTTAAGCACCTGGATCTCATTCTTCGATTCTCTGGAAAAGAAGCCCATAAAAGGGGTTATAAATCATAGCAGAATCTTGTTCATAGGAGACATCAACGAGGCAAAAGAGAGTACCTGCGGTGTAAATACACAATGACATAGAAAAGAGGTAGCAACATCAAAATCAGTATTGAAGATGCCATGTAAAAGATTCCTGGTTGCCTCTGCAGATATGAAATAATTCAATAAGAAAAGTAGAATGAGACTCAAATGAGTAAAGAGACAATTAATATGAAATAAATAGTTCCCTTTTTCCTTTCTTTCTTTAAAATAATTAAAAATTAAAAAAATAATAATAATCGAACGGTTTACCAGAGCATGGTTTCCCTAAACTTTCTTGACAAGCAGAAAATAAGCTTGACATATTTAATCCAAACTACTACATTAAAATTTAAAGGTTCACCTCCGCTCCTTTAGAAAATGGCTTTAGTTTTCCAGTGCAAGAATGAGCTCCACAAAATTGGTGAAGAAACAAATCTACAGAGTACCTCGGTCATCAATTTAAAGAATCAGAGCAACTCCATGAGGAACCTTTGAAAATAACAGAAAAAGGATAAGGGCTTGGTGGCGGGGGAGGGGAAGTAGCTTACCATGGAGACGGCTTGCTGATGGTCCCTCATTAATAGGAAAACAGCTATCAGCAAGACTCTGTTAAAGAACGTATAGAAATGAATGATGCAATGATGCAAAACATAAGGCGTGAAATTAGCAAGCAATTCGTGTACCACTAAGCAACCTCACATAAATGCTTGTTCCTAGCAGCAGCTGCAGGACTGCATTTAGATTTACGTGACTTCATATCCATCTTCATGTCACAATGTAATGCCCCACATAAATCAGCTAAGCACTTGCCGTGGCTCTGCATTTACTAATAGCATGGGTAAACAACATCAATCAAACTCAGAAGCAAGGTAAATAAGTAACACAAACAGACTTCATAAAAATGCACTGGAGTTACTTTGGGGCAATTAAGATCTCGACATAAGTATGGCCATCACTTATGCAAGGCCACTCTCTCTCGGATTATTATTTTCTACATGCATAAATGTAAAGTCTCATGGCCAAGTATCTCAGGATTTAGGAAGACGTAAGGTGAATATCTTGTAAGAAGAAAAGTAGAAGCGTGAATATAAAACCTAATACAAGAATTAGGGTACATATTTGATATTACACAATTGCGATGCAAATTTTATTGCATATTGTACAAGTGACAACTACAAGCTAAGAAGCATGGATACGGACACGAGACACAGATATGGTATGATACAGATACGGTGACACGTCATTTTCTAAAAATCTAGGAATACGGAAAGGGCACATTTATTAAAATAAATATTATTTTGTATTATATATCATTTTTAATACAAAAAGAAAATTCAAGGTCAGTAAATTTATGCATTCGTATGCTTTAAAAAATGAGTTTGATGCATTTTGTCCTTAAAGTTTATTATTTTGTCCTATATTACTATTTATGTCTTTTTCTTATGTTTAACAAGTGTTAGATACGGGTGTAACAAGTGTCGGATCCATATTCACTTATTACAACTAGTGTGTGACACACATTTATTGAGCTAACAAGCGTCTTATACGTGTTGTCTGACACGGACACGTTATCTAAAATAAAGTGTTCATGCTTCCTAGACCACAAGCATGCTGATTTGATGATATTCATAAGCTTGGTCGACGTCCATTGCAGGAGTGCTGTTAAAAAAAAAGGTTTAGAGCAACATGGAACATGCTTTATACCTCAAACCCAAGAGGAATATTACCAAGCGAGATGCTACTGGGTAGGGAAATCTCCTCGTCACTAAAAGCTTTCAGCCATATTGTAGAGAGGATGTTAGGACGTGCAAGATCAATGATGCAGGCTCCTTTTCGTGCAATCAATGCAATTGCAATGCCTTGATAGTTTGTGGAAAATCTGGCCAAACTCTCTAGCCAAGTTAATTTTGAAAAGGAAAGCACCTAAAATTACTATAGTATGTGTGACTTTCTTGGCTTTAGAGAAATTGGCATGTTTTTCAGGAGAGATGAATGGGTAAAGATGAGATTCTAGATAGCATGACTTTCCTGGCTTCTAGATGAGGCTACTTTGACTAAGCTTTCTTTCATAACTACTCAAATTTTTTGGCACAAGCCAATTATAACCTTTTTTGTAAATTTCTTGGGCTTCCTGGGATAATACTTCATTGGCTCATCCTTTCCTCTCTCTTTTTTTTCTTCCCCCCGCACTTCTCTGTTGTCATTTTTTCTGATCAGATAGCTCTTACATTGTTGCAATACGATCGTTCATATCAAGTTAAATAACACTCAAATACTGAGTAACAGACACTCACCCATTCATGTCATGAAAGCAGCACTTCTAATTTACAATTATTAGAGGAAGCAGAAAAGGTAGTAGAATTTCTAATTTACAAGTATTAGCAGAAGGAAGCAAACACATGTTAGTTAATAGTCTATTGCTACACTGCCTGCAATATAGCATGAGAACCAGGTAATTACAGATGATGCTACGACAAGCCTATGTGTTATGCAATGTCCAATTCCAAATAACAGCAAATGCTAAGACATGACCCATAAATGATAACCATGTTATATGATCACCTTATGGAATATATTATAATTATAAATTTTGATCATAACATAAAAGAAGAACATACGACATTCAGAAGATTGTGATGTCTGTTGTCAAAATGCTTATCAAGAAACTTTTCGGCACGAAAGCTCTTCCGACAGTATCCACACTGCCAATGATTTATATCCAGATGAATCTTGTGCTGCTCCTGATCTCTGAACAGATCATTGTTTGGATGAAGCCTACACTCAGTTGAAACCTGATAATTTTCCTTCTCTAAAAACGGCAGCAAATGCTAAAGTAGAAACAACAGAAAACATCAATCAGAATGTCTGTTTCAAATGGTAGAGTCCATAAGCTTTAACTAGCAAAGAAAGTTAAGTCCGTACCTCCTCAATAATATTCCAGGCTGTCTTACTTCTTTCTCTGGAACAGTGTACTTCATCAACATGCTCTTCAGCTTCCTTAAGAGGTCTACATAAACATAAATAAATAGATATTCCAACAGTGTCAAATAGTATGTTTGAAGCATAACTAAAGCAACAGCTTATTGCTTGCGTAGGATGAGAGACACATAAAAGATATCGCCTAAATAAGATGCATTTGTTAGTGAGAGAGAGTGGGGAGTAGGGAGAAGCATATAATAGTAAATAAAGAGAAGGTAGAATACATTACAACGCAACTCAAAATACAACATTGGGCAATGATATATCTTCTTTGGGATCATAGAGTCAATTCCAGTTGCAAATGAAATTGTTGAAGAAAGGAGAAAATCAAAGACAAGTTTATGAATTTTTAAAAATTGACTTGGAACAAGCATACATTTTGCCGATTGGGAGTTTCCAAAAGCAGTGATGAATAAAAAGGGATTTTAATGTAAATGGCTGAAATGGATGACGAGATGTGTTTCACACACAAAATTTTCAATATTTCTAAACGGTAAACCAAGTGGAAAAGCGGCAGCACTGGGGGCTATAACAAGATATGATGAATTTGACTGTTTCAATACGACTTACGAAGTTCTTATCTAAGGCTTGTTGTAATTATACTTTTCTATATTAATTCAAATTAGAGTGCATTTATATAAAAGCTCGAAATGGAAATAGGGGAGTATAATTTTTTATGTAACTTTTAAGGCACCTATCTCTGACCAAAAGGTCATGAGTTCGAACCCCCACCCCCATGCTGTATATGTATGTGTGTTATAACTATCTTCTTTGGTGGACTGATAAACAAATGGTACATCATAAAAAGTTAATCCCGTAACTTGTAGCAATTAATCAATACTCCACATAGCCAATTTTAGGTTTCAACTGAACCATAACTTATTTTCTCCAGTAAACTCTCAGGTTCAGAGCAACCAAATGTCAAGAAACTCAGAAGAAGAGAGAGAGAGAGAGAGAGAGAGAGAGACCACACGCAAGGATGGGAGAAAAGAGCTACCTTGAAGTTGCAGATTGCTCCACCTCCAGATCCTAAAACGAATGAAAAAGGTCAAGGTAAGAAGAGAAGACTTGGACAGATGAGCAGAGAAATTCGCAGCGCAAGCCAATATAAAGAGCAATAAGGGATTGTTATGGAGAAAACAGTGAAGTCTAAAGAGATGTATTAAACAACCAAACAGAATACATTCAGGGAATAACTGAGTCTGTAGGAAAAGCTGTTAACTCCATATATTTCAGTCACTAGCTCTCCCCCTCGCAAACCTTATTCAGGTTTTAAACATAATAAAGAAAGAAACTTTCCATTTTCACAGACATTACAATAGTAATCGCTCGAGGCTATTTCAAATCCAAAGGTCAATCCAGAATTAGCGACGGATTAGGGAAAAGAAAATTATTTGATTATGATAAGAAACAAAAGAATAAATCACAAAATCAACTGATTCTACCAAGATTCAGGAGCAGAAACAACGATGCGTGTGTTTAGGTATCTACATATGCATAATTAGTACCTGAGGAGTCTCTGAAGGAGGTAGAGCCGAAGCAAAATGAACTGATTGTAGAGAAAATGACATTAATATAAGAATTATGCTGCCTGCTCCTGCTGTTGCTTTCTTCATCGCTCTGGCCATTTCCAAAGGTTTTGGACTGCCTGGGAAACTTTACGCAACCCGGCTGCGACCCGGTTCGGTTGGGTGTTCGGAGTTCGAATTCCAATTTCCAGTCGCGAATAGAATAAGATCCTTCCCTATCGAATCACGGACGCGTGGCGTGGCGCCAAATTCTACCGTTTTTTGTTTAATAATTAATACGGAGCGGGAGCACTCGAAGATCCGAATTTCTATTTGTATTTCGGAAATTAAAAACAGTTTTTTGTTGAAAGGATTCAGAAAATTATTAATTTTATATCATAAGATACCTAAAATAAATAAAAAGTCATATAAAATCGTTTTTTTAGAATGAGAATTTAAATCTCTAACTTTAACCAATTGAATTTTATATAATTTAATATTTGATCGACATGAACCACTTATGTATCCAAAGATAGTCGAGAGACTTATAGATAAATATATAAAATATATATTATAAACATTATAAAAGTGGCACACTTTCAAATTTATCTCCTGTGTCACGTTATTTTTTCAATAGTGAAGTAGATAATCAACTTATTTTAAAATATCATGGATTAAAGTGCAATTTTCACATACCTTAAAATTTATAAGAGCATGATTAAATGTAGATAACTGCAACTCATTTCTTGGAGGACGGCAATTAGTTATAGTTAATTACAAATTTTAATAACTTTGCTTTTCTGGAATAGAAAAAAGTGTACTTTCTGCCATGGAAATATTCCAGCAATTGTTGATTAAACCAATCTTAATTTAACGACTTACAAAACATTCAGTTAATAAAATATCAACTTAAAAGGTACTCAAATTCATATTTCTATAAATGAACTCTAACAAACAAAAAATGAATCCAACTCTATAAATAAGCCTCTGAGATCGTGATTACCATTAACTAACAAAATAAATGTGTCTCCCTTTATCTACACACTCATCATTTGTAGCTATATAATATCTAGTTCCACCTAAGCTAACAGGATTTTTTTTAATTTCTGTTTGCTTATTTTTTCTTCTTGCCTCTCTTTCTTGAACTAGTTTCAGGTGCTTCTGCCTCTTCCGCCTTCTGCTCTGCCTCCAATATGGCAAGCTATATTCCAAGCAGTCAGTTAAGAGTTAGAACATGAACATTTTGAAAGTATGATACTGAAAATTACAATTCTAATTATGTAAAGCAAGTCAAACAGAGCTTACCTCATCAAGGATGGGTTTAAGCTCCCTGTACCGAGATTCAGCAAGATCGAAGCCATCCTTCCGAAGTTCCTGTATGATCGAGACATGAAGAAAATTAAATACTTTTCGGCCATACACGAGGATAAGAAAGGATCACAAAAATGATTTTAATCGAGTCTTGTTGATAAAATGTTTTCGGTCTCATCGTTTTGATAAAATGAATTCATGTTACTTTTTTCTTAAACTGCAAGAGGGGAATTTGGTATATAGATTGGAAATGGAACAGAAGAGCCATATCATTTCCTTTGTTCTTCTTCGAGATTGTATGCAATCGGGATAGAAAATTCACAACAGAGAGGAAATCCGCTCACCACTGCTATTGTTTGATCGAAGTGGTAATAACAGTTATGAATCACTGCCCACCAGAGAAGAAAAGGTAGAATCAATTTATTTAGATGAGAAAGAAATTACATACTTTTCCAGTATGTTGTGTATGCTCGTGTGCAGCCATTTGCCAGTAGAGATTTGTACGCTTATAGAAGTCCCTCAGAGATTCCCCAGGCTATATCGAAAAATATAATCGAGATCAATCGATAAAGCAGTAAGACTAAGGAACTTAACAGAACATAGAATTTGTCAATTTAAAAACTAAATAATAGCTATGATAGCAATAGAAGGTAAAAATATAAGATATTAGTTCTATTTTAAAATATTAAATTAAAAGGCTGAAGATTTCAAGTAAAACATCATAGTTGAAGAACAACGTTATAGATTATGAAAGCTACCATTGGAGTTCTTTGTGAATCTGAAAGGCCAAGGTTAGCTCTAATTTGTTCAATCCTAGCTCGCTTCTCCTTCCTACGAAGATTCCTGCCCTCACCCTTAATCAAAGCTACAGCATCTCCTACTCGACGATCATCCCCAGCCTACAAAAAGAAACAAGACAAATGAAAAGTAGTCGTGGTCACAGAATTGTATCATTTGGTTCCATTTCACATGCTTAGGTGGCAGCTTCACTTTATTCTTGGAAAAGCAGTTATTTCAATTTAGAACACGAAGACAGCGCAATATCTCATGCAAAAGAAGGGGGAAACGTAAGCATAAAACAAAATAACAGAGTAATTGGATTAAAAAGATGATGAAGAGGTGGGAGAAACAAGGGAAATTTTTTATTCGCAACCAGAAACTTGTAACCAGTATAATCACATCTATAGTCCAACAAATAAGGAATAAAGGATGAACTGCACCTCCAAATCGTCCTCGTCACCATCATCATCATCACTTTCATTGCTTCCTTCAGAATTGTCATCATCCTCACTGTCATCTTCATCTTCTTCCTCATCTTCATCCTCTGAGGCTTCCACCCATTCAGATTCTGTGGCCTTCATCACAAAGGGCAAAGTAAGAAAAATTAAAGTAAAGAGTTTTAGTTTTAGGTGCTTTGCAACAGCAAGCATGTCAAAATATATATATATATATATATATATGGGGCTTTCAAAAATGAAACAGATGAGTTCCAGATATTACGAGAATTAAGGCTTCCAAGTTGAAAAAGAATAGTCACGAGTAGCAAAGCAAAAGATCTTTTGGTGATTAACACTTTACCTAGCAATCTACAAGTCACTGATAAAACAGAGAAAAAGAGGTTTCCAATTTTTGTCTGTAAAGTAAATAGCATACCGGTATAATGCACTTCCATTCGTCGAGTTTACTGAGATTGAGAGCATACAGGTCATCAAGGGTGATTTCCCGATCTTTGATTTCCATCATACCCCCATATATGTACAGCGTATCTCTTCCAACAACCATGCAGGAGTTAATACGTCCACAGGGCTTAATCACCTATAAATTGCAATATTTTATTATCTAAAAGTTCTAGTACAATTTTAATACACAGAAAAATAATTATTGAACTCCAGCAAAACAGACCTCTGGCATAACAATATTTTGGTTTGAACCAGATTCTTGGAGTTTTTTACCAGCATTCGTTTCCAATCCGCCATTCTTAATAGACACAGATGAAGATATGTGTTGAGATATTTCATCAATGTCGGTTTCCATGTTGCATGCTTCTTCTAGGACTGAGCTTTCTATTTTACCAACTTCAACAACCTCCTCTAGTTCATTCATATGGTCATCAGACTCAACCTCGATGTTCTTTTGTTCAGAGATCTTTTTTATCTGCAAAGAAATATAACCATCAACATCATATTGTATTAACGTACAGTTTCAATGAACAGAAATTTTTTAGAAAGTCTGAATATTTTAAAAGAAAGCAATTTTCCATTAAAAGATTAGAATAGCTAGCTAGAAATTTATCAAGGGATTACCTTTGCCTTCGTTGACTTTTCTTTCCTTAACTCTAGGGGATACCTACCCGCAAGGAAAGACACCAACTAAGTAGCAGAATAATGATTTTACACCTTTTGTATATACCAATGATACAAACTCAAACTTCACTTGCAGCAAGACGGGGGACCTCATGAAATGGGCTAGACATGACATAATAATTTGTTGTACTTACCAGCGATTATTGTCTAATTGAAATGCATAGAGTTCGTTCAAGAATAGACTCATCATTGCATCACCTGCATATGACCAAGAACACATAAATGCGCTAAATTTTATTATTTTGATATGAAAATCCTCCAATTCCCATGGTCAAAAAATTTGTCTTTAAAAGCTCCGACAATCATTTGGAATATTTTCTATGAGTATCAATTATTCCATTGAAGAGCACTGAAATGCATACTTCACAAAAGAATCTTATGGGTACTAGTTCCCACAAGGAACTCAATTACCAATTAGAGATTATTCGCACAAGTCTGACAAGTTAAAATTTCTAACTGACACATGGCATGAAGACAAATAAAAATATATATATAATATAAAACATGATTCTCCCAGATGTTCGTGGTCGTAAAGGGCCTGAATTAGTAGTGACCTCTTAATCTCAATCTCTTGGCTTCTTGTATCAAGGTAAGAGACCTACTTTATATCAGTCTTCTATTCTTAACTTAGCCATCTACCTGTGGTATTTTATCTGTAAATATTATGCTCTTCTTGACAGGCTTCTTTTTTTCCTCATAGGTATTTTATTTTTGTAGTCACTAGTTAAGGTGTATTTGTTTAACTTTAAGAAAGCAGAGGATGTGCGATAGTAGATCCCATTCGTGGCAGTTTAAGTACTCGCCTTCAACTTCCATGTCCACCACTCCCCCAAATAGCAAGGCTCGCCTCTTATGAACACACATGGAGAACCCTGCACGAGGCCCAGGTGGCATCCCACCTTTCTTGACCTATTAAAAGTAAATACAAATAATTGAAACAGAGCAAATTAGTACTAGAAATACAATCCGAAAGAGAGATACACAAAAAAGAGCAATTAGCTACTCGATTTTTTAATACTTTCTCCCAACAGATATCACGTATTTGCCAGTTTATAAAATCTTGATCACTATCAATATCAGAGGTAGAGCCCAAGTCTTATTCAATATTAGTTGTGATGGCTTCTTAGGAAAATTGGAAAAAGAAATAGAAAGGACGTGATGAAATTTTGTGCAATGTAATTCATATTATGACTTCTATATAAACTTTTCAATTATTTTTGAGAGATATATTTTACTCAATGAGTTCCATCTCCACTCTTAATGAATTCTAGTTTCTTATGAAAAAATATGTGTTGTATTTTACTCAGTTTGAAAGTTTCTAAGAATCTCCCTATATGATGGTTGCCGATGGTATTTTTGAGAGATTTCCAATCGTTAAGGTAGTCCCCGGTATATACATGGGCTATAATTGCTTCTTCATTACAAAGAAGAGCAGAACCCAATGTCTGGACAAGTAAAACTTGAAATCAAATCATGATTCACAAGGCCTGAGTATACAACCTTATTCCATTGCCAAGTCCTCGGATCAAGGGACCACATGTCTGCATGCACAACTCCTCTTTCTGAAGAGCTCTTATCAGATTGAATTTCTTTAAAATAGCCACCATACAAGAAAACCTGTAATTTGAATGAACATTGAAGACAGTAAAGCAGAGAACTTGTCTCTATAATGCTATACATCAAAAAAAAAATCCATTGATGAAAGATGTCAATCCATTGGTTAACTGCTTCTTGATCAACTAACCTCATCTTGGTGAACAAAAAATTGAAAGCCACTTCGAGGACTAGGCCACATTGCACCAGGACCAGGCTTTATTTCTTGCCACTAATAGAACATTTTGTTAGTACTCATAACTAAATCATGTCAAGAGAATAGTCAGATGATGCTATCATGTAGAGGGAAGGAAAATTTTGGTAAAAAAAAAAGTTTCACACCTTATACTGATCCAGGTCAAATACATACATATCATTATAATATCTGCAAAAGAATATACGAGAAAAGCTTCAGTGAGCAGATTGAAACCAAGACTTGTAAATGGGAAATAGCCAAAGCATATAAATCTGAAATATTGTCACATTTGCTTTTCAAAAATTGATAGAAATTACATGTACCCATTTGGAAAAAGGCAGAAAGGTAGCTCACATAAGATAAGTTTGATCTAATTAGGAATACAAAATTGAACAATAGTTCATAGTATACCTTCAATCTGGAAACCAACATACAGACACGCACACACACAGTACAGAAGCTTTTCTTAAGAGATAATTCATATGAGTTAATTAATTATAGAACCCACCAACCTCACTTCTCTTAAAGTGTCATAGAAGCCACCAAAAACAATAATTTTGTGCTTGTATAAGACCTGAAACGCAATCAAGGGAAGTGTTACAAAAAATGAAAGGAGATGACCTCACCAGATACTTATGAAGCATAGCATCCAAAAATTACCATCCGATGACCAGAGCGTGGACTAGGACAACCTTTTAAATTTATTTGTTCCCACTGATTTGTTTTCAGGTCCAACATCCAGAAATCCTATATGTTTGTATTTAGCACAAAATTAAAGGACAGAGTGTAATAAGCCAACACATTGCTTATAAGTTAATAATAATAACAAGCATGCACTTGCAAAGAGAAAAAAATGGAAATGAAAATTCCACCTTGTAGTGGTGAAACCTCTCTTGGTTTGGAGATGTAAACTCTCCACCTGATGACCAAAAAAGAAAAGAAGTTAGCATAGTGATGCTAAATACTAGAGCTTATTTGCATTCGACCAAATTTCTTCACTAACCAAAAATATAGAGGTAATTCTTCCAAGCAACAGCTTGATGAGCACTACGAGGAGGGGGACTATTGGGACTTGAAATTAGTTTCCACTCTAGTTTCTCAACATCATATCGGTAAAGATCACCATAGACAAATGTCTGTGCCAACTCAAGTTAATGAACTGCAGATGTAAGACCGGAATTAACTACTTCAAGTAAGACGTGCAGTCACACGGTAGATTATCCTAAACTTACCTTGGTACCATTGTAGAATTCACCCCCATAGAGGATCAACTCCGTTTCTTTCAGTGGATTGATGGTCAGCTACACAATTTTTCAGATGAATTATATATACTGATTTCACCATCATCATGAAATAGAACGGTTAGAAATTAACATGACAGTCCATATGTAAGGGATTTACCGAACAATTGGACCGAGGAGATGGCGCAGGGACATTTTCCTCAACATGAACTTCCTTTTTCTTCGCTTCCTCCTTTTGTATACTCAGCTGCAAAAGTTCAAATGAGCAAAAATAAAACTCGCTTACCGATCTTTTATCATTTAAAGCAGAGCATGCCAAGTTTTTCATGCACGCATACCCATAGAAAGTGTTAGTTGGAAGATGCGTAACCCCCAAATGTACCCCCTTCTATAATACCCATTCCCTTTTCTCTCTTTCTTTGTTGCTCAAACATCTTTGATGTAGTTATTCAAAATCCTCAAATTATCTCTTGAAGGAACGGAAAATATAGTAAACGAACAAAAATAAGGAAGGAAAGAGAACTCCATTCGCATATATAATTCGTAGTTTTACAACCAGTACAAGTAACAAAAGAAGCATGTCCTGATTATCAAAAATGTAAACAGAGATGCTTTCGAACAAAAGGCTGAAGCATTGGTACATAAGTATTGATCTGCTCCTGTTTGTACTCGGTTACAGAAAACAAATTCAAAGTCTCAGAGAATGAAGGAACATACAAGAATTGCGTCAATATCATCCTCGGGAGAAATCTTCTTGTTCTCCCTTCGAGCTTTCTTTTCCTCGGCTTTCGCGGTTTTCCTCTCAGTCTTTTCTTTTCCTTTTCCCGGTTTCTTCGTCTTCTTCCCCATCAGATTTGCAGCTCTGTGCTTGCCCCTCAGCTACGAATGCAAGTTACAGTGGAAGCAAGCGAAGAGCTTCAAAGCAGGAGTCGTGGAAGGGAACTTTGATGCGGCGCCTTCCCTCCTTACAAACCAAAGTTTCGTTGATTAATTGAATTCTTCGCTCTCAGTATATACGGTGTCGTTGTATGGTAACCCGACATTTACTCTGGTGTCTGATGTGTGAATAGGGATCAAACGCACCGTTTTATACACGTTTTTTTCTTCTTTTTTTTTTCTAAAAAATTACTATCCATCCTCGTTTTGACATGTACTATCTGCTACAGTAGTTTGTTAATTGTTTCCGATCTTTCTTGATTTGAATTAAGGATTCCAATATTTTAAGATCGTGTCTGAATAATATATAGTAAATACGATTAAATAATATAAAGTGATTGAGTTTGTTGTGGTTCCTTATATTTTTTTTCCTTGTTTATACATTTTCACTTATTCATTACAAATCACATATTATTGAAATCTCAAAAGGAACGCACGCAGAGACTTTACAGAGCTACAGATTTTGCAATTAGAGTCTAAAATTAAAAAATAATAGTAATAAAAGGATGAGTTTAATTTACAACTGGAAATTCATATTTCCAACTATTGGGCATTTTTTTAACTGTCAAGAAAAAACCTATTGGGCTTTTCTTTGTGGGTGTATTTTTCATGCGAATTCTAAGCGGCCCATGATAGTTTGCAACGTGATAAGCCCATATGATCCTCGAGCGTGGGCCTCAGCTGTTTGGACCCAACTGCATTCAGACATCTATCAAAATCGGTTACAATTTTCAAAGCCGGTCGTAATTGGCATATATCTCCTAATCAAAAGATTGTGAGTTCGATCTCCCACCCACACGTATTGTACTAAAAAAATATACAAAAGTATTCTGATCTGCTTCCTATTAATTACAAACATATATTTCGTAAAAAATGTATAGTATCGTTATAGCGTTTTTGTTTTCTGTTTGTAGCTTTTCACTTTACTAATTATATGGTGAAATCGTGAAAATTGAATAGTGTTTATGCATAAAATTGAATGGGGTTCGACCTGGTCAAGGTCGGACACATAAACTAATTGATTCACCTTGCTAGGGAATGACCTACAAAAGAGAGGCAAACACTCTAATGTTCAAGTCAGTAACCGCTTGAACTTAATAGCAATTTCAATATATAATGTGATACTTGTATGCAGAAGTGGTGCCTTTTATTTATAGGTTGGGGATCCGACATGCAGTTATTAGTATCAAATATCATGTCAGATATGTCTCAAACTACGTGTCGGATCTAGATGCTGGTCGCGCCACATAATAGTTCTCATAGTAAATATTTGGCTAAGTATGCCACCTCGGACAGGTGCAAGGCGACCTAGATTCAGATGCGTCCATGTGATCGTCTTCTCCATGTGACCTTCTAATTATCATCCTAAATAAACATAGTGTAAAATCATTATGCTTATCTAAGTTGAAGGTAAAATTTAACGAAATTAGACATTTATACAAATTACCAAGTTTACAAGGAAAAGATGAAAATTTTTCGTCATCCCAAATATAATTCAATTGGTTAAAACATATATGATTGACTAGATAGTTGTAAGTTAAAATCATCGTATAGTTGAACTAAACAAATATTTTTCCACACTTTATAGTCATACATATAATCATGTAAATTAAGTTTGTTTTAAAATTTGATTATCCGAGAACGGTGAAAATATATAACTCATTTAGATGGGATAAAAAGAAATAAATAAATAATGCTGATTGTCCAGGTGGGTGACGCGTGCGAGAGGGATGGCATTGAATTATGTTTAGGTACACTGTGATTTAAAATTGGCGCTAAAAAGCTGAATAAACTGAAATGGAATATGGAATCAGCTCAGCAGAACATAAATTAGTTAATAATTAATTCATAGATTTTGCATATATTTCTCGGGCCCTGTGTGAACTTTAGTTATCTGGAAAACAAAATAATACCTTTATCTTTAAGATATTTCTTAAAGTATGATCTTTTTGTAAATTACATTGCAATTACTATATATTGTAAATGTGTGCAATCCAAATCCAGCCCCCAGAAAAAAGCTAAACCAACCAATTGAGTTAATCCGGTTGGTTTGGAAATTTAACTGTATTTTTTAGTTAGATTCCATTTCATAAAGTAAGAAATCAAAATATAGTCCATCAGATTTGATTTGGATAAACCTTTTCAATTTCAATTTCTATTTGTCAAGTAATTATTGATTTTATTAGGTTTGGACATTGATCTTACTTTGTTCTATCTATAATAAAAAATAGTAAGACATGCGTGCAATGTACGGTTTTATTATAAAGTATATAAAAACATACAAATTTATTTGTTTATGCCATTAACTATTTGTTTAAAAATTGTAACGTGTATATATATGTGTTGGAGGTAGAATTTAAACTTACACGTGTAAGGAGATGGATGGATCTAGAACATGACACGTGGCTTATAAATCGTGTTGAAGATTGTCCAAGTAGCTCCACCTCGGCTCATCATATGTGCCGAGCCAATTATCTTTGGTGGCTGTGTCGAACAAGTCTGCTCATAATCTTGTTCCCATATTACTGGTTGAATCGATTGACTTACCTCAACTCGATCCTGCCTCAGACACACTCCACGACAGTACGCTGTATTTCACAGCAACCTTAAAGAGCCATTGAGTTCTTGTCGATAATAATTTCGAGGATTTTGCCTATAAATATAACAATTCCACTCCATTTTGATGTACGCGAACGTTCGATTCTCTATCGAGTTGATTTGGACATTCACTGACTTTGGCATCGGAATGCTCACTCTATTTTGCAGGTCTTCAACGCAGCATTCGAAGTTCACTGTCTAGCTCGTCCTAGTCGATCCGACATTTGCGGAGTTGATCGTTTTTCTGATCCAACAATATATATTAAATTAAAAATTGTTAAATGTTTAGTGAAGTCATATACATGGAGAAACAAAATGTACATCCCGTCTAAAAATGTTACCATTTTTCACCTTTTGTTTATAATTTTATTAATAAATTTAAGTATCTGACAACTATTTAACATATTGTTTCTTATTCTTTTATAAACATTTACAATAATATACAAATTTAGAAACAAAAAAAATATTTTTGTTTATTGTTATAATTTATAATTTATTTCAAGATAAATAAATATGTTATCTTATCATTAGGGGTATGCAATTTTATTTTTTTCTTTATCATAAAAAAGAAACACAACAATAAATGGTAGCATAAGGAAACTGATCGACCTCTTTCGCTTCTTGGCTTGTGCAAGGGACAATAAAGGATCTCAATCAAAGTGTAGTCCACATGGCATCCATTTTGTATCGTTGACAAGTTAGTTTCCTCTTTAAAAAAATGGTAACATTACTAAACCAGATTTCGTTTCAAATAATGATGTTTAAAATATTATTTTTTATTTTTTTAGTACAACGTGTGAAAGTAGATAGTTTAACTCATAATATCTTAATTGAAGATATATGCCAACAAACACGGAATTAAACTCGTTTTGACTATATTTTAAAATTGTTAATCGTTACACTGTTAATCATACAAAATAATTTATTACTAAAAAGAAGATTAAAAAAATGCTTTACTTCTATGCGACTGCTAAAAAGTTTCATAGTCAGTAGGCTGCCCGCTGCTAACGGTTTATATTAATGGAGCGTGCATTTGCAGTGACACGTCTTTTAAAAAACAAAATTGTTACTTTTGGAATTAAATTTAATATTTCAGTTTCTTTTTGTGTGTATATCCCTATTTATTTATTCATTGCACAAACAATCCCAGAGTTTGTACTAAATTTTAAATGTTTGTGGTAGATAATTTTTATGCAGTAATTTTTATTTCTTAAATGAGCGAGCTTCTTCAAATTTTTATTCTAAATCAATACAACTGTTTAGAGAACAAATAAAATAGAAACAAAACTTGTACTTCTAAAAAATATATTTAGAACTTAATCGGGTTGATTCGATTTCTTTTTTTATTTTTTTGAATTATGATATTCACTTACAATTTATATTGGGTATCTTTTGATACTTTTTTTAGCCAAATTTCATAAACACTAAAATTGTTAGTTTAAAAAACTCAGGTTAGATTTTGAAAATGGATTTAAAAAGTAGACAGAAAAACAAATAAATGCTTAAAAAATAGAAAAGCAAAAGCAGCAAAATAATCATAAAAGTGGGAGATAAAAATAATTAACTGGTGTATTATTCCTTTTTTTTTTAATGTTATCCAATATCAACAAATAAAAAGGTATGAAATTCGAACGAAATATATTAATTGGGCAAAATTGAAACTAATATTAAGCTTCACAGCCGGACTTAAAATTATAAATTAATATATAGAAAAAATCCATGAAGAAGGTGGAAACACACCAACCTTATATTATAAATTAGAATAAGCCGCATATCTTGACACCCACCGCAATATTCGTTTTGGATTTAATAAAGATTATGATATGTTTAGGATTTTAAATATGGTCCAGATATTGTGATTTTCAATATCCAATCTCGGCGTTCGGTATATTCCAAATATTTCTTTTTTCTTCGTCTTCAGGGGATTTACAGGATCCGATTTAGTAGCATGCTTGCCGGTGGCCAATTTCTATTTTTTCTCTTCGTCCACTATATATTTTAAAACGAATAAATCAGTCACGTTGATTACGTGGATACAGTTCCGCGTTTAGTAGAAAATTGGTAAAAAAAAAAAAAAAAATCATCATGTATAAGAATTGAAGTTTAAAACGCATATTTCACTTTTATATTTATATATATATATATATTTACCAACACTTTCGTAGTCAATGTCACATGGGCTGTATAAATTAAGGGCATTTCCCTGCAATCCCATGTAAATTAAATAGTCCAAAGAAAAAAAAATTAGAGAGACTTTTGCAGGTCATTTGATTAAAACGTATCTCAACATAGACAAATCAAACACTATATATGTTGTTAAAATTTATTGGTAACATCATATTGATGCTTTTAACCTACATAAATCCATAAATATGGATATTGTATTAGGAACAATAAGCAAACATTCAATTTGAGGTATGTTAAAGATGACACATCATGATTCATACGCTTTTGGGAAAAAATCATAAAATTTAGACTCAAAACTGGTCGAATTCAAATACAATGCTCAATGGATAAAACACAATTCCGAAATCCCGTGATTGGTAGCCTGATAACATTCCTTAATGCCAATGTGCCCGAGTTTATATAAACTCAGTCAAAAGTCAACTTTCAAAATTGTTTAAATCGTTGCCATCTATATAAATGAAATACAGTTAGTGGGAGTAATAGTATAACCAAACCAAGCCACTAAAATTTGTAACGCCATTTTTATAATTAAAGAAAAGCGTGTCATCACAATCATTACACCCCTGCTTCAAAACCAAACACTTTTGTGCACTTTTTTCATTTCCAAAGAAACCATCTCTCTTGCTTACAATTCCCCATTTTTCTAAATTTTCGTACCAATTCCCGCGTTACCCTGCCTCTAATCTTTCCAGATTCCTATATAAATCTTCCCACCCCACACGCCCACTCATCGACCAGAGAGAAACCGATATGGGCGGCGGCGGAGGAGACGACGGCGGAATTCGAAATTCATGGCTCAAAATGGAGAGATATTTGAACAAGGCAATCGCACGCAGCGTGGTGGGCAAATATTTCAAACTCGAAGCAAGAAACAGCTGCTTCACCAAGGAACTACGCGCCGGTTTAGCCACTTTTCTTACAATGGCTTATATTATCACCGTTAACGCCAATATCATCGCCGACTCCGGCGGCACGTGCTCCATCGCCGACTGCTCGGCTCC